TTGAGCCATACCCACCGCCCCTGGAGGTCCGCGGAGATCGATCCCACAGGCGCTGGTTCTGGACAAATCCCCGCCTCGGGGAGGCAAAGGAGGGGGGAGCACTTCGCTCGAAGCGTCGTTCGTGTCCGCCGTCGACCTCCTCTTTCGGGCCCCCGTCCGTTTCCCCCCCTCGTACTTCGCCAGCCCCGTCAGCGGAGACCGGCCCATTTTCGGAATGGCCCCCTCTCCCGCGATACCACACGGTACCCGCAGGCGGGGGCCAATGGCAGCACCTACAGGACATGACCTCATGCCATGAGTGAGTGAGTGATGACGAACCAACAGCACACACACCCATACCCATAGGGGGGTCGGAGAGGGCTATGGGTGCGTGTTGTCGGATGGGGGTCCCCATTTGAACGGGAGCGTTCCCCAGGGTCCGACAACCCGAACCCATACCCATAGCCAGTCCTCCTCCCAACGACCCCTCTATGGGTATGGGTGTGTGTTGTTCGTTCGTCAAGTGAGGGGGGGAGCACTTCTTGGGCGTCCCGTCCGGCTCGAACTCCTGCGGCGGGGGCGGGGGCATGTGCAGGAAGGGCGGAGAGCCTCCCAGGCGCACGGCGGAAGAGGCCACGGCCCGCAGCCCGCGGGGCCGCGCGGTCGCCCGCTGGCTCGCGCGCAGGAGCAGCATCGCGCCCCGCGCCGGGAGGGGGTGCGGCGGGCCGAGGGGGAGGCGCGCCGCGAGGGTGCCTCGAGCCTCTCGAGCCTCCGGAGCCTCTCGATCCCGCTCTGCCCACACCTCCAGGCCTCCTCCCCGTCGATCCCTTCCCCCCCGTCGATCCCTTCCCCCCCCATCGAGCCCCTCCCTTCCCACCCTCTCCCCCCTTCCTCCCCCCTCGATCCGCTCGCTCCTCCCTTCCTCCCCGCGTCGAGCCTAGCTGAGGAGAACAAGTCTCGTGCTGGAAGGGCGTTGGGGAGGGTGAAGGGCACGAGCAGCAGCAGCAGCAGCAGCAGCAGCAGCATCCGGATGCAAGAAACGATGCCTTCGGCAACCTGCGGGTAAAGACGTCCACACGTTTCCCAGCCCAACCCTCCCGACCCGACAATTGTCTTCCCGACTCGTGCGGGAGCGGCCGCGGCGGAGGGAGGCAGACACACACACACACAGAGCAAGAATCCAAAACACCGAACTGGAGCTACTGCTGCCACTGCAACTGTACACCGCTCAAGGTGCAACGGAAGGGGGGAGAGAGAGAGAGAGAGAGAAGGAAGAGAGAGAAGGAAGAGAGAGAAGGAAGAGAGAGAAGGAAGAGAGAGAGAGAGAGAAGAAGAAGACAGAGCAGAGAGACCGTGCCTCCCCCAGCTCATGCACCGTGCGTCAGGGCCGGTCGCCCCGATCCTCGTCGCCGCCAGCGCACGGAGGGCGGCGACGGCGGCGAAGAGGAGGGCCAGGAGGAAGGGCCCAGGAAGGCCTCCCAGCAACGCCCCGAGAGAGCCCCAAGAAGCGAAGGCCTGCATGGTTGCTTCCTCCTCCTCCTCCTCCTCCTTCTCCTCCTCCTCACGCAGGAGTCCACAATACGGGCCTTCGTGGCGCCCATGCGGGAGGCCATCCAAACAAACGAATGCTGTACGGGAGGGGTGTGTTCAAGTGAAAAGGGCCTCTGCCCCCTCTTATGCCACTGTCTGTTCCTACGCACCCCTGGCCGCCTAGAAATCGCTGCTGAATAGGCTGGTGTGGATACGAGAACCGTCAAACATTGGGAGAACGTGTGAAAGGATACACCTTGGAAGAAAGCTGACACAAACATGCTGAAGCTGGCAGATGTAAGCATTATGTGAGTGAGTGAGGGAGAGAGCGAGAGAGAGAGAGAGACTGCAAGAGGAGGGGGCACCGATGAAAGATGAGGAAAAGGGGAAAGGTGCAGGAAGAGCAGGAGATGGGAAAGAACAATTAGCGAATAACAACAGCATGACCGGTGTGGGTGGATAATGACGCATAGAGGAGAAACCGGGAACAGGCAGGCGATACAAGAGGAGAGACTATTACTCAGGAGGCACCAGGATCTTCGTCCTCCTCCCCGAATCCTTAGATCCTCCGTCCCTGTTCAGTGTTCCCTCCTCCTTACCTGTTCCATGTTCTCCCCACCTTCTACCGTTTTGATCTCTGCACGTCCTTCTGGTGTTTAATGGAGCTGCCTATGGCCCTATGGGGCCACGGGACAAGTGAGGGGTGCGCCGAGCTGGGCGGGAGGACGCTATGCGGACTGTGGCTCTGGAGCCTCCGGTGGAACTCCCTATGAGGCCACCAAGCGGGCAATGGGGTGTGCCGACATGGTCGGGGAGACGCCATCTGTCCTTGCCCACTGAGGCCTACGGTAGAGTTCGCTGTGGGGCTAAGACACGTGTGGGCGGGGTGCCGACATGGGCGGTGGGACGCCGTGTGCTCTTGCCCACTGGGGGCTTCCGTGGAGCGCCCTATGAAGGCACGAAACGAATGAGGAGTGTACCGACATGGACGGGCGGACGCTATGCTGCCTTGTCCACTGGGGTCTTCGGTGGAGCTAGCTCGGTATGGGGCCACAAAATGTGTGAGGCGTGTGCCGACATGGCTGGGGAGACTCCACGTGTACACATACCCACTGGGGCCTTTGGTGGAGCTCCCGATGGGGCACGAACCGTATGAGGGGGGTCCCGAAATGGGCAGAGGGATGTCATGTGGCCTTCCCCACTGGGACCTCCAGTGGAGCTCCATGTATGGCCACGGAACGAGTGAGGGGTGTGCCGAAATGGGCGGGGGGGCGCCATGCGGCCTTGCCCGCCTTCTTCGGTGGAGCTCCCTTTGGGGCACGAAACGTGTGAGGGGTGCGCGCGCCCAGGGTAGCCCCGAGACGGTGACCCCGAGGCCCCCAAGAGGGTCCAAGACTGCTCCCAGAGGGCCGCAGAGAGGGGCCCCAGAGGCAACAATCGCCCCACTCCCTCGGGAAAACCACATGTTCGACATACACGCCTGTTTCGTCTTGACGGCGCCCACTCCGGCCAAAGAAGCTTCCACGATCGTCCCAAGACGGCCCATGAGGCCCCCGACAGGGCCCAAAGGCGGCCCAGCAGAGCCTCAAGAGGGCCCAAGAGGGCCTCAAGAAAGCCCCAGGGGCCCCTAAGACGGCTAAGGATGGCCCCAAGGGCCCCAAGAGGGGCTTCGAGAGGGGCAATACCATGTGACATTTCGAGTCTTTCCCGCCGTGATGGCCCCAAGGGCCCCCAAGTGTCCCCCGAGGCGCCCCCAAGAGGCTTCCAAGAGGCTTCCAAGAGGCACCCAAGATGCCCCTGGGAGGCCCACGAAAGCCAATCGAATGCCCCCAAAGAGCCCTCCAAGAGGCCCCCGAGAGGCATTCCAGGAGACCACCACAGGCATCCCCGAAGCTCCTGACCCAAAGGCCAGGCACGGTGCCGTGACGCTTGACGACTCCAGCATCTTGAATAACATGCAACGGCTGAAGTCGAGCATCGCGGACACAGGTTCTTGATGCTTGTATCCGTGGGCCTCGCTCTCGAGCCGTCTCCGCGGGGGCCGGCAAGGGCCCCCCCCCAGAGGGGACCTCTGGCGGCACCCCGCAGGAGCCCCCGGGGCGGGAGGAGGAGCGCAGCTTTCTTCCCTTCGCCGCCCGACAAAGGTCGGCGAGGCCGCGCGGCTTCGCGCGCGGGGAGCCCGCGAGGCGAGGACGGGGCTCCGCGGAGCTGGTCCGTGCCACGCCGGGCGGTGCGCCGGAGACGTTCTGTAGGCCTCCGGCGGCCTCGCGGAGCGGGCGGCCCGTCGAAGGCGCGAGGATGTCCGGGAGGGGGGGGGGCAGCGGGGAGGGGGGGGCGAGAGCAGGGAGCTTCGAGATAAGGGGTCGACTGCAGAGCTGATGTACCCCAGAATTGGTGGTTCTCGTCGAGCCCATGGGAAACGCGCAGAGAGGCGGGAGAGCGAGGAACGTCACGCGCTCCTCGGGCACGTCCGATGCCATGCCGGTGGGAGAGATGGCAGGGACGGGGGGGTCGAGAGGGGGGCGCGCGAGCACGGGCCGCGCGGCACGTCTGGCAGCTAAACACGGCCCTGCGCCCTCGTTTGCAGCACGGGCCGTGGACAGGGGCGCCCCTCGCCACGTGTGGACGGTGCAGCCCGGGTCCCCCCCTCCCCTCGTCTCGTCTCCCGCGGTTCCCTGCCGTCCCCTCCCTGGCCGCCGCTTCCATCCTTCTCTGGGCGGCGCGCCCGGGGGGGGGGGGAAGTGAGACGGGGCGGCCATCTGAGAAGTTCTTAAGCCTTCCCCGAAGACACAAAAAGCTTCTCAGAAGGCTAAAAAGGGCTTCAGAGAAGCCCCGCCGCCTTCTGAGAGGGCCTTCTTCTTCTTCTCACTTATCCCCCCTCGCTCGCCGCCGATCCTACCCCTTTTCCAACGCTCCCCCCCGTCCCCCCCTTCTCCATCCACTCGTTTCCCCTCCATCCCCCCTCCGCCCTTGCGCCTCCCTCTATCCCACCAGTCCCTCCCACCCCCTGTGTCCCCCACCATCCATCCATCCATCCCTCCCTGCTGGTCCGTGCGCACGGACATCACGCATCACCTCGCCCGGAGCTCGAGAGGCACTGCTTGGATGGTGAGGCCCTGAAAGGTCGCTAGCATCCAAGCAGCGCCCACGATGAAGGCGAACAAGCAGCTCCCTCTGTACATCGCCTTCAAAGGGGGCGAGAGGAGGGATGCGGGCGGACACGGGGAGGGGAGGACGAGAAAGTTGAGGGAGACGGTGAGAACGGCTGATGAGGGATACGGGCCTCGGAAGAAATTAGCGAACACTCATGTCACATTCATGTGTCTTCCCCACCCACTGATCAATGTTGGTGGTGGGTTGGATGAGTTGCACTTCGGCCGCAGTCTTCCCCGCGCATGCCAACTTTGCGTTTGGGGGGGCGGGGGAATGTCCACCAATTGATGTCCCTCTACCGTAGGAAAAGAAACGAGAGGGGAGAAGGAAACGGAAAGGAGGTGGTGGATGAAGATGAGAGGAGCACGACGAGGAAGATGACGGGGACAGCGAAAACGAGGCCGAGGAGGACAAACACGAGGAAGCGAGGGATGACGAGGACGAGAACGCTGACGAGGACGATCAGCCATGAGGACACAGATAACGAGGATGAGGTGGAAGACAAAGGGAAGAGGAGGGGAGAGATGGGGGGCGAACGGGGAGAGGGAGGGGAGCGGAAGGGGAATGAGGAGGATAAGAGGAACAATAGTAATATATGTCTTATCGCTCGTCAGAGCCACCCCTGCTCCTCGTCCTCCTCCTCCTCGTCCTCCTCCTCCTCCTCCTCCTCCTCCTCATCCTCCTCCTCCTCCTCCTCCCCATCATCTTCCTCATTATCCTCGTCCTCGCACCCATGATGCGATTGTAACTGTCCTCCACGCAAAGAGCACGCAGCCTGGAAACGCGCCGTCCAGCCGCTCCGAACTCTAGCAAGCAACTTCCCCATACGCCCCTACGAATGCATCGCCCCCATGCGTACACCCGAAACGTGCGAGCGAAAAGCATCCGTCACGGATCTGAAGGGCATGGCCGCTGAAACTGGTGTAGGAATCTGATAGCCAGGAACTGCGAGGCCCGCTGGACCTCTGGAAGAGCTTGCCAGAATCTCCCCAAAAACGTTGCGCCTCTCCATGGGGTGGGTGGGCGCGTGAGCCTCTCCCAGCAACCCCGCCAACATCCTTCCCTTCCTCACCCTGGTGCTGCTGCTGCTTCTCGCACGTCTCGCCGTCCTCATGTCCTCCGTCTGCCGCAGAGCCTGGGGCCCTCCGAGGACGCCGCAGGCAAGATCTACCGCTAGGTCGGGCATGTCCTCCTACAGTCGGATTTCGCACGAAAGCCAAAAAAGAATAGTCAAAACAAGACTCATAAATAGTATAAACAAAAAAACGTCCCCTGACTATCTTTGACTATTTTCGAATATTCCTTCTGTCGAGGGACAGGCCCGTCTTCGACCGGCACGGCGTCCAGGCAGAAGCCAGGGTGCCAGCCTCCGGCGCCCGGTGCTCGTGGGCAGAGCGTGCGCTCACGCACTGGAAGGCATGTGCACGCGCGCGCGCCGCGCTGCAGCGGACGTGCGAGGCCCCGAGGACGGAGCATCCAGAGGAAGGGGGCGAGGAGGAGCACGGGCGGAAGGGGGCGAGGAGGGGGGCGAGGGAGGGGGCGAGGGAGCATCCAGAGAAAGGGGGCGAGGAGGAGCCAAAAGTACGACCATTCCTTCAAACATGGCCGCGCCGATGTGCACACACACACACACACACTCTTTGCGTCGGCGGCAGGGCAGAGATTACTGCTCCGGCGATGTGGCATTAGTGGGGCGCACAGAATGCAAACTGGACCGCGGTGCACGGGGGGAAGGGGGAGGAAGCCAGCACACACACACACACACACACACACATCGAGCAAGTTGCAGCTCAGGGCGGCCGCGCCTCACGACCAAGAGAGCCGGTGTCTGGGCGCCCCCCCTTGGCTCTGACACTGGCAGCCGTCAAGAGTGACCGTTGTTCAAGTGTGTTGGGTTGCATAGGCTTGCACGTGCATCTTACAGTGTGTCGGAGATCAGCTAACGCAAGGGATAAGCTTGAGGCGTTTTGCAATCCTAGAGCAGTGCAATGGCTGAGTCCGCAAAACTTGCTGGAAACACGTTCCTGGGAAAAGATGAATTGCCTTACGGCCTGCCTGTTATGCCCAAAAAGGTTACAAGTTGCATAGGATTTGGGGCGCTAAGAATGTGTAAAACACGCGGAACCTTCGAGACTTCCTGATACCGGCCTGGTTCCAGCGCTTGTGTGCAATTTGGAAAATCCTGCCCCTGGCTTTCCCAATCGTCATGCAACCTCAAATGTGCTGTCAGCGCCGCTGTGCCGTAAATCGCCCGGGTATACGGCGTGTGGAACATGGTTTATATAGCTACGTGGACGGGCCCCGCACACCCCCATCACTGCTCCCCATGATTGCGGCGGCCTTGGACCAGCTTAAACTTACGTCATGTTGTGCGACAGGCCCAGTCAGGAAACCAACAGTGAGCGTTTGCTTTTTCGGCGTTTCGACATTGGGCAGAAGGGGGGGGGGGCAGGGGAGGGGGGGCTCTGGCTCTGGACCTCTGCCTAGTGCGACTGCTGGCAACAGTGCGTCCCATGGGGGAGACCCTGCCTGCTCGAAACGGGCGCCCAGAACAGCCAGCCTCTACTCTGGGGGGGGGGGGAGAGGCGGGGGGGAGGTGTGAGGGCCCGCGCCGATCGGCAGAACAGTGAATGAGAAGACGACGACATACGCATCCCAATGTTTAGCGAATCTGTGCTCACGAACGCCAGGAGAACCCAGAATCGAATCGGTAATGCGGATCGGCGATCGACTCGGATCGGCGGGAATCGGCAGCCGAGTTGGGAGAAGTCGAATCGGCGGAAATCGTCCAAATAGCAGGCCTCCATTGAGAGCGGAATCCAGATCGGAATCCGAAGTCGAATCGAATCGGAATCGGCAACCATCGAAATCGAACGAATCGAATCGAATCGGAGGAATCGAAGCGAGCCCTGCGAACACCGCGTCGTCAGCGTAAGGCACCTCACTGCCCACAACACACACAGGTGGGTCCTGTACGTTCACCCGTGGGCACGGCGCGGCACACGCTGTCAACGGCGAAGAGCACCACGGTCTGCATAACGTTAGGTCGGGTATGTCCTCCTACAGGCGGATTGTTTAGACGAGAAACAAAAAAACATACCCAACATAGTCAAAGGTAGTCCGAAAATCGTCCACGGTGTAATTTGTTTGACAATTCTTGAATACTCCTCCCGTAGAGGGACATGCCCGACTTAAGCATAATGGTAAACATAAACGGGAACAGATGGCATCTGTGAGCCAATTCGGGTCACAGGCATACATCAACAAGGAGGGGGGGTAGTAGGAAGCAACAGCTCGTTGCCTGACGCAGTCAGCATTCTAGATGTCTCCGCTAACAAAGATTGTGTTGCCCCCCTTCGTACTTAAGGACCACATCCCAGAAATCATTTCGAGCACCCAGAAACGTATCGAAGCAATGTCGAGCGAATATCGCCTCCCAGGGCCCGACACGTGAAAACCCTCAAATTTCGGTATTTTCTCGGTGCTCGACACTCTTTCTGGCGGTCAAGGCTGAAGTCGGTTGGAAAATCATAAAACAAGAAGGATGCTGGTGACGGTAAGGAGGGAACGGAGAGGAGGGAAGCCTAGAGGACTAGAGGATCGGAAGGACAACGAGACTCGTGCACTCCCAAGCACGTGCCCCCCCCCCCCCCACCCCCCGAAGAGCGAGAGGCGAACCACGAGTGATTGCAGCCAGGGCTGACGCCAGAGAACCTCTGGAAGAACATCGGGCCTCGAACCTGCATGCTCACGCAAGTACGACTCGCCATTCCCCCTCCTACCCGTTCCTCGTCCATCCTCCCCGTCCTCCTCCTTCTCCCTGCCCACTGCTCCCTCCTCTGACCCCGCCCACGACGAAGACAGCATCGGGCTGGGAGAATCTGGAGCCTCCGTGCCGCGGCCACTGCGGAGCGTTTCAGACCTCTAAGCAAGCACAGGGCGACTCGTCCGCATCCCCACCGCTCGGACGTCCATTCCCTGTACATTTTTCGGCTTCGCGCGCTTCGAGTAGGGGCCCGACCACAAAAAACCTTCCACAAGAAACCCAAACCTGAGACCCCAGGACTCCAGGACGTCCATTGAGTTTTGGTGTGGGAGCGTCGGGCTTTCCACGGCAAAACCATCCAAACACACACACACAAACACACACACACGCCCGAGCGACGCCAAGCCCCCGCGCAGCGCTGACCCCCGGGCGGGGCTGCCCGACCGCCCCGAGGAGGAGGAGGAGGAGGAGGAGGAGGAGGAGGAGGAGGAGGAGGAGGAGGAGGATGGGGAGGAGGAGGAGGAGGAGGAGGAGGAGGCGGGAGAGAGAAGGAGAAGGGAAGAGCCATTTTGGGAGGAGGAGGAGGAGGAGGAGGAGGAGGAGAAGAGGAGACGAGGAGAAGAGGAGGAGGAGGAGGAGGATGGAGGAGGAGGGAGGAGAGTGAGTGGACCCCCCCGCCCACCCCCTGAGCCGCCTTCTGGGACGCCCTCTGGCCGAGGCCGGAATTCACCTCAAGGCGTGGGGGCGGCGCCCGCCCCCCCCGGCCCCGCCAGTCCACGCTTCCACGGCGCCGGGCCGACCGGTGACGCTTTTTCACTCGTTTCCCAGTCCTCCTCGCCCTCCTCCTCCTCCTCCTCCTCCTCCTCCCTCCTCTCCTCCTCCTCCTCCTCCTCATCCTCCTCATCCTCCTCGACCGCCTCCTCTCCTCCTCCTCGACCTCCTCCTTCTCCTCTTCCTCCTTCTCCTCCTCCATCCCTTCTCCTTATGAGCAATTTCTCCCTGTCGCACCCCGAGGCTAGTTTTTAGAGCGGGACGGGCGTTTCGCCTGAGACTTCCTTACAATTTAGGACCCTGAAGCTTAACCATTGACAACAGCTTCACAGATGGAGGGCGGGTTGTTTTCAAAATGTGGCTCTCGCCTCAGCGCCGCGTGCAGTTCAACATGTTGCAAGAGTTTCACGGATTGCGGGTGGTTTTCAAAATGTGGCTCTCGCCTAAGCGCCGCGCGCATTCGTTCTCAAAATTTGCAAGAGCTTCACGAATTTAGGGCGGGCCGTTTTCAAAATGTGGCTCTCGCCTTAGCGCCGCGCACATTCGTTTTAAATATGTGCAAGAGATGTACGTATTCACAGAAAGGTGTTTGGGAAAGATTTGCGATTATGAAGGCGCAACAGTTACAGTGATTCGCGGTGTTGACATACCAGGAATGGCGTTCTGGCACTGTTCAGGATCGTCAAGACGCAATAGTCAGGCTTATCCGTGGCGTTCGAATACCGAGAATAATGTTTTGGCATTATTCAGGGTCGTCAACCGGTTGTCTTTCCAACGAGGCAGGTCCCTCTGTGGAAATGAACCGTTGTAGGGGCCTATGAAGAGGGAGCTTGGGGGGAGGATTTACTCCAACATTATTGGTGACTCTTGGGTTTACACTGGTCCTCCTCCTCCTCCTGGCCCTCCTCGTCGTTGTCGTCGTCCACCTCCTCGGCTTCCCCCTTCACTCTCTCACCGTGAGCTGAGTCCATCACTCCTGCCCCACTCCCCCCCTCTGCCCTCCTGCATATTTGCTTCACGCCCTCCCTTGCGCTTCCATCGGCTGTTCCCTGCATGAATTCCTCCTCCTCCTCCTCCGCCCCCCCCTCCCGCCTCCCCCTGCTGGTCTTCCTCCGCGGCAACCGTTTCCTCCTCCTCCTCCTCCTCTTCGTCCTCCTCCTCCTTCTCCCACCTCATCCTCCCCCCACTCCTCCTCAACCCCAGCCCTCCCCCCGATCACCGTTCGTATCATCGATGTTAGTTTCGGCTCTACTTTAGCGAGTCGTTGGACAATGAGGGGCACGTGGGGCCGCGCTGTCTAAACGACTCGCTCTTCCCATCTCTGTCTGTCCCGCTCTCTCTCTCTCTCTCTCTCTCTCTCTCTCTCTCCCTCTCTGTCTCACTCTATACATGTCCCCCCTCTCTCTCTTTCTGTCTGTCTCTTTATGTATGTCTTTCTCTCTCTCTCTCTCTCTCTCAAAAGCTGTCTTTTTCTCTCTCTCTCTCTCTCTCCCTCTCTCTCTCCGTCTGTTTGTCACTTTGCCTCTCTGCTTATCGTTCTCTCTCTCTCTCTGTCGTTCTCTCTTTCGCTCCTTATTTCTTTATGGATTTATTTATGTATCGCTCTCTCTCTCTCTCTCTGGTTTGTTTTCTCACTCTCTCTTTTGCTCTCTCTCTCTCTCTCTGCAATCACACTGTGCTGTGCTGCTGGAAGAGAACCCTGGAGCATGCAGCTACGAGCTACGGCAGTGTCAAGAAACGCCCTGCGCGGGCCTTGGGCCGCCCAACCTTCCAGCACGGGCCGTCTGGAGTCCTGCGGCCGTCTCGCCGCGCCGTGCCGTAGCGGCCAGCCAGCGTGGGGGCCCAACTCGGAGGAAGAGGAGGTACACCGTGACCCCTGCCTGGTCATTCCGATGTTTTGGGCCTCCTGGGAGGCCCTCGTCGCCACCGCTGGCTTCTCCCCGAGATGGTCAGGACGTCCCCCGGGAAGCACGAGGAGTAGAGAAAACACGAAAACCTCAAGCTCCGTTTCGCCATTCGCCTCCCCCTGCCCCTACCCCCCCCTGCCCAACAAAAATTGTGTGCCGAACGGTCGAACGGGCTCTGGGCGCAAGGCCTGTAGCGCTCCTCTGGCGGCAGCAGAAAACAACGAAACCGCCGGAGTGCAGAGCTGAGAGGCGCAGGAGGTGCAAAGAGAAGCGGGGAAGTTTGAGCAGGGACCGACCGCCCCAGCAATCCTAGAAGCCTACCACGAAATGTTCATAGAACCCCGAAATGTTCTCGAACATCGCGTGCAGACCGCAAAAGGATCTTAGAACATTATTCGGTGGGCCTACAGTCGAGCCAGGCCGCCTCGCCACTGCTTGACCCACGCTTACCAAGAAAAGCCGTCACGCGGACTGTCCCCGCGGGGGTGGGTGGGTCAGGGGCCTGCGGCCGTCCCCGCGGGGTATGGGGCCCCGTGGCTTTCCGAGAGCCCTCGGGCTCTCGGGGGAGGAGGAGGAGGAGGAGGGAGGAGGAGGCTCTCGCTCTCATCACCGACTGCCAGAGGAGAGCCAGATCGGGTAGCATCACCTTCCTCGACCTCAGGGAGGCCTTCCACTCCGTCATCAGGGAATTCTGCATGGAGCTCCCTCCACCGCCGACGAACTTAACGACCTCATCGAGCAGATAGGCATTCCAGCTGTCCTCAAGCCCTCGCTCATCGAAAGATTAAAGCAGCCAGCTTACAACAACCAACACATCGACGACCAGCACCTCTGCCGCATGATCGCCGACCACCATACTTCCAACTGGATGACCGCGAAGAGCGCTGAGCACTATCAGTTACCACGGACAAGCACACGACCTGGCGTTCCCTACTCCGATGTCGCTTTCAACACCCACTTCGCCATCATGCTGCGGGCCATCGACCAATCAGCCGCAGAAGCAGAGGAAAGCAACCAACCATCAGGAGGCCATGACACAGACGCATGTCAGGCCCCGCTTTTCTCTGCAACACCTCACGAGGGCGGCGTGTTCAGGAACATATCATTCGTCGACGACCTCACAGACTACAACTCGACAGCCAATGCCAGCGACCTACTACAGGTGACGCGACTTTCAGCCACCAGATTGTGTACAGCAGCTTACCAGCATGGACTCAAGCCCCACCCTGACACGACGAAAACTATCCTCATGCACTACGGCAGTGGGGCCAAGAAAGAGCGCCAGAAGATCGCCAGGGAAAAGGTCACCCGCATCGAGCTAGAGAACATCCCCATCAAAGTCCAGCTCGTGACCCAACAGAAAGCCCTCGGCACCATCATCACGGCGGGAGGGGTCATGGGCCCCGAGATCTGCCTCAGGGTCAACAGAACACACGGCGCTGCAAGACCTCTGGAGAAGCAGCTTCTCCGCCGCAAAAAGCTATCGATGAAGGCCAAGATAAAGTATGTCCACGCCCTCTCGACCTCGTCTCTAATCTACAACCACCACGTATGGAACCGCCTGACCAAGAAGGACCGCAACCACATCGCGACCAGGTACATGGGACCATACCGAGTGGCGGCATCCATGCCCAATACGAACACGCCCGACAAGCACGTCACCAACAGCGAGGCGATTGCGAAGACGGGCATCCCCGACTTCGACAAACACCAGACGGCAGCCCGATTACTATGCTTACCCCGCCTCCTGAACCACGCTCCCGCCGTCCTATTACAGCTACTCGATAGCCAGCGACAACATAGAGGCACATGGAGTCACCTCCTCAAGCAGGACTTCGCCTTTCTCAGAAAGCACCTCCCACAAGACAGATGGCCAAGCAAGGACCAGCACGACAGCGACATCATCAACTGGGCCCGACAAAGACCCAAGCACTGCACTACCGCGGTCAAGTCGGCCACAAAGTTCCACTTGCACTACACGCGAGACAAGGACCAGCTAGTCAGGTTCCAGAAGGTCATCCGAATGCCCATGGCCCCATCGAGCACCGTCGACATAGAGCACTCCGACCACGACTCCAAGACCAAGTACGTATGCTACATCTGCGGCCGCACGGCAACCAAGCAGGGAATGGCAGTGCATATGGGACGGGACCACCCCGACAGCGGGAATCCTCGACGATGGGCCACAGGTGCAGCGTGCAGGTGCTGCCAGCCGGAGCTCCACACCTTCCCGAGGCTCCTGAAGCACCTCGCGGTGGCCCACTGCTGCCGAAAGTCATGGCACGCATGGCATGCCATGACGATGGAACCTCTTACTGAGCAACAAATCGCCGACAGCCACGACGCCATCGCCACGACCACGGCAGCAAACAAGAAGTGCGGCCGACAAGCGACCTTCAGCGAGATACCTGCCTACAAGATCGACATCATGCCGCTCCCACTCATCGAGACGTCCCCCACCCTTCCCATGGTCTACGCCGCTATCCAACCGACTGCACCCCAACCTAATGCACTTCAGGTACCCGAGCCAGCCGAACGGCAGGAAGAAAAACAAAAAAAGAGGAAAGAGGAGCACAAGAGGTGCAAACGGGGCCTTCGAGGGACAAGACGGAGAGACAGAGAGGGAGAGAGAGAGAGAGAGAGAGACACAAACAACAAAAAACTAAAAACAAAAAACACAAACAAACGGAGGGAGGGAGGGAGGGACCGGAATGGACGTCAGAGCACAGCCAGAGGCCCCAGCGGCGGGCCAGAAAGAAAGGCACGAGAGGCGCAGAGGACACAGTGCAAAGCAAGGGCGCAGGCCGAGAAAGGCTCGAGCATGAACTCGTCATGCGCCGGACGCCGCTCTCGTCAGGTCCGACGCGGCTGCGGGCCAGCGGTGGAATCAGCGGCGGTTCAAGCCTCCGAGGCCTCCGAGGCTCCAGGCGCTGCTCCGCTCGGACCTCCACGGCCATTGCCGGCGTCGGTGCCAGAGCCGTTGCTGGCGTCGGAGCCGGAGCCGACACGAGTGCCAGGGCGACGTGCCGATGCTGTACTCCTGCCCGCGGGGCTTCGAACGGGTGGAGACTCTGGAAGGAAGTCGCGAACCGAAGCTGGAGGTCGAGGCGCAGGTGGAAATGCCGTCGCCTTCAGACCCCTGGTCAACCTGCGAACTGGTGGCACCGGCGCGGATGAAGACGGGGCCGGCCGTGCTGCTCAATGGGTGCGGGTCGTGGCGAGGAAGACACTCTCCGTCGCTGCCGCTGTCGCGCCCACCCCTCGACCTCACTTCTCCCGGCTTGTCCCGGCCTCTCTGGGGTAAAGATGCCGACTCGACCGATAATTGCATCACACCACCCTGCCTCCTCCTAGCTGCCTGCTCCTCCTCCTCCTCCTCCTCCTCCTCCTCCTCCTCCTCCTCGACCTCCTCCTCCTCCTCCTCGACCTCCTTCTCCTCCTCCTCCTCCTCCTCCTCGTCCTCCTCCTCCTCCTCCTCCTCCTCCTCCTCCTCCTCCTCCGCCTCTTCCACAATTGCACAATATGAATACTACTCTCCTCTCTCCCTGGATGACGTCCGGAAAACATCCGGCCCCCTCCACGTAATGTTTTTGTACACAAGAGATTCCGGGGAAATGGGTTTTCGCTTGGCTTGTTTTCAAAATGATGCTCCCGCTGAAGCGCTGGCTTCATTTTGGGGTTTTCGATTGTTCCGAATCGTGCTCCCGCTGCAGCGCTAGCCTCATTTCCGCGCATCCGCAGGTTCCGAATCTTGCTTCCGCTGCAGCGCTGGCCTCATTTCTGCGCTTCCGCTCGTCCTGAATCGTGATCCCGCTGCAGCGCTGGTGTCATTATTTCCAGCGCCATGCCACGGCATGGTTTTCGGTCCTTCAGATTACGCCCCAAAATCTAGAAACATGCCTTCCGAAAAAACCATCGGAGGTGATTACACATTCGGTGACGATTCGTTGATTTTCGGGGCCGCAGAAGGCCCCCCTTTCCACTTTGGGGCGTCGCCACGCCATGCTTTGTCATGCTACGCGTTGATCTTCAACCCCATGCTATGCCTTGTAATGCTATGCCATGCTACGACATCCGATTGTGCGAATAGAGAGGAGATCTACGCCATGGTAAGGGATGGGAGGGAGGGGTATAACGTCAGATATGACACAAGCGCACCTAGCTTATCCTCCTCTCCCTCCTCCTCCTCCTCCTCCTCCTCCTCCTCCTCCTCCTCCTCATCTTCCTCCCTTTCCTCATCCTACATCTCCTCCTCCTCCTCCTCCTCATCATCATCATCTTCTCCTCCCTCTCCTCCCCTCCCCCCCTCCTCCCTCTCCTCCTCTCCTCCTCCTCTCCTCCTCCTCCTCCTCTCCTCCTCCTCCGCCTCCTCCTCCTCCCTCCCTCCTCCTCCTCCTCTCTCCTCCTCCTCCTCTCTTCCTCCTTTCCTCATCCTAACTCCTCCTCTCCTCCTCCTCCTCCTCCTCCTCATCATCTCATCATCATTCATCATCATCATCATCATCATCATCATCATCATCATCATCATCATCATCATCATCATCAGCAGCAGCAGCACAGCAGCAGCAGCAGCAGCAGCATCATCATCATCATCATCATCATCATCATCATCATCATCATCATCATCATCATCATCATCATCATCATCATCATCATCATCAGCATCATCATCATCATCATCATCATCATCATCATCATCATCATCATCATCATCCATCATCATCATCATCATCATCATCATCATCATCATCATCATCATCTCATCATCATCATCATCATCCCTCTTCCTCCCCTCTCTCTCCTCCCTCGCCTCCCTCTCCTCCTCTCCTCCTCTCCTCCTCCTCCTCCTCCTTCTCCTCCTCCTCCTCCTCCTCCTCCTCCTCCTCCTCCTCCTCCTCCGCCTCCTCCTCCTCCTCCTCCTCCTCCTCCTCCTCCTCCTCCTCCTCCTCCTCCTCCTCCTCCTCCTCCTCCTCCTCCTCCTCCCTCATCATACCTACATCCATCTTCACTTCCCTCCTCTCCCTCCCTCCCTCCCTCCCTCCCTCCTCTCTCCCTGCCTCCCTAGCCCGGGCTCAGATCGCTTCCGCCGGAGGTCGCGAGCCCAAGCCAGGAGGCCCCCCGCCTCTGCCCTCCCCCTCTTCGCCCCATTCCCCTTCCACTCAGACCGCGCCATGTCCGTGCCTCCCTGGCGGGCGGCCCCGCGCCCACGGCGTGCTGCACCGGAGCGACGTGCCCAACGCCTGCGGGCCGAAGGCCGAGCCGTGCAGGTGTTCCTTCGCTGCTTCGACGAGCTCGGGCGGCATCGTGGAGGTTGTCCCTCCCGGCTGGGGGCGGCGCTGGCCACAGCCCTTCGTCCACCGCGGGCGGAGCCAGCCAGCGTCCGGAGTTCTGGTCAGCTTCAGGCGCTCCAACAAGTTTTTGCCCAGCCAACCGCAGGAGTTCCAGCCTCAGGAGTACCAGCAGCGGGAGTACACGCAGGAGGGGTACCTGCAGCAGGTGTACAGCCAGACCGGTCCCCTGCCGCCGCTGGAGTATCTACAGCTGGCGTACCAGCAGGCGGAGTTCTTGCAGCAGAAGTGCAGCCAGTCCGTTCCCCTGCAGCCGCAGAAGTTCCAGAAGCAGGAGTTCCAGCTGGAGGAGTTTCAGTCCGGTCCCCTGCCGCTGCAGGAGTACCAGCAGCGGGTGTACCAGCAGGCGGAGTTCTTGCAGCAGGGGTGCAGCCAATCCGGTCCCCTGCAGCCGCAGGAGTACCAGCAGCAGGGGTACCAGCAGATGTACCAGCCCGGCCCCCTGCCGCCGCAGGAGTACACGCAGCAGGAGTTCAGCCAGCCGCAGGAGCTCCACTTCAAGCTGTAGCGCCCTCTTTTTTGCCCCACAGCCCTGCTGTGGCTTCAGGCCACACACACTTCAGAGATGGCCAGTCTTTTGGGTTTTTTCGGCCCGTCGTAGCGGCCGCCCGGCAGGCGCCGCCTCTTGACGCAGTCACAGTCGCGCGGCAGCGCGGCTACAGTCCCGCGCTGCGCAACCTCGCCAACCGGCCTGAAGCAGCAGTCCACAGCGCACAAGTGCTTGCAGCGGTGCTCCTCGAGACTCGAGGCCTCGTGCACCCTGCCAGGGCACTGCTTGCTCGAGGCGGCCCTGGAGACTGACGCTTCGCTCTTTTTGAGGGGGGGGGCCATGTCTGGGGTGTTCATGCGCAGCCTACTCCGAGCCGCTTGTTCACCTGACAAAAGTTGATTGGCCCCCCTCCACCTAGCGGCCGGCCTTTTTCAGGCTGCTGGACGGGTTCGTCTGGTCCCTGGGCGTACCCTCGACCCCGTTCAACGGGGTGGGCGGGCGTGAGGGACCCGATGTGCTCGTCCTCTCTCTCCTCCTCTCATGGCCTACGATTGTCCGGTCATTCCTCCCAGGCAGTGCTTGCGATGTTGCACTTTTTCTCACGTACGTTGTCATTGCTTCACATTGCTATTGTTCATCCCTCGTTTCACCTTACAATTGCCCGGTTCACAATACAGCCACCTGGGACACCCACCGAGGTGCACGCCAGCTGCTCACCCCCGCGTCAGCAGCGGCCTCAGAGTCCCGCTCGTTTTCCCAGGCAATCTTACCTCGCGCTTGCAGATTGGGATGCTTCTTCAGGCAGTGCATGCAGACATCGACGTGCGATGCAATGGTGGCGCACTCTGGGCAGCGACCGTGCTCTCCTCAAAGACGGGCCTGCCCCCTAAGGGGGCGGATCACACGGGAGAGTACGGCACGAACGTACGGCCAGCAGTTTCTTCCCTCAACTCGCACTCAGTTTTTCCGCCATCAGTCACACAGGGCAAGGCTTGCAGCTCTCATCTCAAGAGCTCCGCGGTATCTTCAGTGGACCCCCCCTCCATCCTCCTCCTTGATTATCCCTCCTCCCTCCTCCTCCCTCCCCCAGCGCGCTGCTCAGCAGCAACAAGGCGGTTCGACCGCCCACGGCCATTTTGGCCCTCCGTCCAGCTCCTCCTTTCTCCTCACGGTCTACTTAATTTGGGTAGGCATTCCCAGGCCAGATACTTCTTTTCTAGCCCTACACTGCTCTCTGCCTCGAGGGCTGCCCTGCTATGGGCAACGAAGCAGGGCCCCGCTGATGTCTCTCTTCGCACGGCGCTGCAAACTCCTCCTCTCTCTTTTATGATTCCTCTCTTCCCCTCCCGCAGCGCCAATACCTCTCTCCCGACAGTTTTCGGGACGAGAGCGGAAGCAGCTCAGCGTCCATGCTCTCGGGCTTCTCGTGTGCAGCCTGTGCCAGTCCTGTTGGCCGCTGCGCTCAAGCTAACTTGCAACGAGCTAAGTATAGTCAAAAGCCCTGCCTCCCTCCCTCTTGCTCCACCTCCACCTCATCTTCCCCGCATCGTCCTCCTCTTTCTCGTCCTCATGGAGTTTATTTCCTCCACCTCTGCTCAACCTACACATCTGCTCAACTGTGAGGCGGGGATCAGCATATCCACCGCCTGTGAACCGACATCCTGGGGACCCCGCAGGCGGTGGGCATGGATATATTTTGGCCTCTGGGGGCACAGATATATCCATATCCACCGCCTGTCGAGATCTCCAAAAATCGATCCTCCAGGCGGTGGTGATGTATAAATCCTCGCCTCGGATCAACCTCTGCTCTTTCTCCGCTTTCTCCTCGGCTCCACCTCCACCTCCTTGGTTTTTATCGCAGTGTTCCCCTCCCAACTCGTCTCCCTCCCTCGTCCCCCCTCCCCTCTCGTTCCTCCCTCCCCACCTTGCTCCCCCTCTCCCTAGCCACCCACACCTCAGTCCACCCTTCCTCCCTCATCCTTCCTCCCTCCCTCCTTCCGTCCTCCCCCATTCCTCCCTCCATCCTCATCCCCTCTTCCTCTCTCCTCCCAACCCCTGGGGAAACCAAGAGGTACCGATACCGCTACTCCCCAGACCTCTCCTGGGGTGCGTTCTGACGAGCATTTCGAGGCGAATCCAGCGGTGGCGACGAGGGCCTCCCAGGAGGCCCAAAAAGGGGGAAACGGCGGGAAGAGTAGCGGTATCGGTGCCTTTCCCTTCTCCCAACTCCTTCCCCCCTCCCCACCTCCACACCAGCCCTCAAACCGACCCAACTGCGCAGAGTTTGCGGTGGCCCGGCGCTCGGTGTGGCGCCGGGGCGTCACCGCGCGCGCCCACAGCAGGGCCGCGCCGCCGCCGCCGGCGGCCGAGAGCAGCAGCAGCGCGGCCAGCGAGCAGGCCAGCGAGGCGCCAGGAAGCTGAGCCGCAAGAGCAGCGCCTGGCACGAGGAGCAAGAAATGGGAGGGTGGTAAATACGCACTCTGAGATCCTTCAGTTCAGCGACCTGGCCCCTGAGCGTCTCCATGGCGACTGGGGAGGCGAGGATTACTGAACTGATTTATTTCGGTGTTTTGGCATACCGAAATTCATTAGTTCATTAATCCTCGCCTCCCCAGTCGCTAAGGAGACGCTCAGGGGCCAGATCGCTGAGCTGAAGGATCTCAGGGGGCGTAGTAAAGGGGGGAAAATGCCAGGTCTCGCTTCCCGGCGCGCGGAGCGCGCCAGGGGCGGCACCGGAGGCGCCGCCGGGGGGCCCAGCGCGGATCCAAGGAATCCGCCCGGAGCGTGACAAGTTTACGTTTATGCCGATTTCTATTCTTCGAGAGAGCAAATGGGGGAGTGGGGATCGACTATACCGTCAACCCGTATAATAAGGACGCACGATAAGGATGCAAGGGCCGTGGAAGACCATGTCGGCATTTTTGAACGAGGCTGGCCTGCGAAAGTCGCCAAGGATGGGCGGAAGGGGCAAGGATGCAAGGGTAACCTTCGAAGTTGCCCATCCTTCCTACGCGGGTTGATCGTAACTGCGCAGCCTGTCTCCCACGAGCCTAGCAATCTACTGCGTGCTTGGCAGCGGCGAGGGCGGCTTCCGTCTGGCTCACGTGCGCTGCGGTGCCGTGCACAGGAGGAGTGGGGAGGAGGAGGAGCGGGAGGAGGAGGAAGAGGAGGAGGAGGAGGAGCAGGAGCAGGAGCAGAGGCAGGAGGACAGGGCAGGACAGGACGACGAGGAGGACATGGAGGGGGATGATGGAGACGGGGAAGATAGACATGATGAGGGATATGAGGAATAGTCATAATATTAATGCTCCATGAGAGGGCAGCGGGCAGAGAGAGCGAGAGAGACAAAGAGAGAGAGAGAGGGAGGGAAGAATATAGAGAAATAGAGAGAGAGGGACCGAGAGAGGAAATTTGCCTGGCGAAGGACCCAACCATATGCAGTTGTGAATGCCGCAATTGTGCTGGGTGGTGGCGGACGCATGCGGGCGGTGCCACTGGGACCTTCGGTGGAGCTCCCTATGGGGCCACGAAACGCTGTACTGGGTGGGTGAGACGCGGTCAGCAAGGGCTGTGCTGCGTGGTGGCGGACGCATGCGAGCGGTGCCACTGGGACCTTCGGTGGAGCTCCCTATGGGGCCACGAAACGCTGTACTGGGTGGGTGAAACGCAGGGAACAAGGGCTGTGCTGAGTGGTGGCGGACGCAAGCGGGCAGTGCCACTGGGACCTTTGGTGGAGCCCCCTATGGGGCCACGAAACGTGCGAGGGGTGTGCCAGAATGGGGTGTGGAACCGCATGCCAGCGCAGCCACTGGGGCCTTCGGTGGAGCTCCCTATGGAGCCACGAAACGTGTGAGGGGTGTGCCGAAATGGGGGGTGGAACCGCATGCGAGCGCAGCCACTGCGGCGTTCGGTGGAGCTCCCTATGGGGCCACGAGACGTGTGAAGGGCGTGCCGAAAAAGGGGGTGGAACCGCATGCGAGCGCAGCCACTGGGGCCTTCGGTGGAGCTCTCTATGGGGCCACGAACCGTGTGAGGGGTGTGCCGAAATGCGGGGGGGAACCACATGCGAGCGCAGCCACTGGGGCTTCGGTGGAGCTCCCCATGGAGCCACCCACGAAGCGTGTGAGGGGTGTGCCGAAATGGGGGGTGGGACCGCATGCGAGCGCAGCCACTGGAGCGTTCGGTGGAGCTCCCTATGGGGCCACGAAACGTGTGAAGGGTGTGCCAGAATGGGGGGTGGAACCGCATGCGGGCGCAGCCACTGGGGCCCTCGGTGGAGCTCCCTATGGGGCCACGAAACGTGTGAGGGGTGTGCCAGAATGGGGGGTGGAACCGCATGCGGGCGCAGCCACTGGGGCCTTCGGTGGAGCTCCCTATGGGGCCACGAAACGTGTGAGGGGTGTGCCAGAATGGGGGGTGGAACCGCATGCGGGCGCAGCCACTGGGGCCTTCGGTGGAGCTCCCTATGGGGCCACGAAACGTGTGAGGGGTGTGCCAGAATGGGGGTGGAACCGCATGCGGGCGCAGCCACTGGGGCCTTCGGTGGAGCTCCCTATGGGGCCACGAACCGTGTGAGGGGTGTGCCGAATGGGGGGGGAACCACATGCGAGCGCAGCCACTGGGGCCGGTGGAGTGCCGAGGGGTGTGCCGAATGGGGGGTGGAACCGCATGCGGGCGCAGCCACTGGGGCCTTCGGTGGAGCTCCCTATGGGGCCACGAAACGTGTGAGGGGTGTGCCAGAATGGGGGGTGGAACCGCATGCGGGCGCAGCCACTGGGGCCTTCGGTGGAGCTCCCTATGGGGCCACGAAACGTGTGAGGGGTGTGCCAGAATGGGGGGTGGAACCGCATGCGGGCGCAGCCACTGGGGCCTTCGGTGGAGCTCCCTATGGGGCCACGAAACGTGTGAGGGGTGTGCCAGAATGGGGGGTGGAACCGCATGCGGGCGCAGCCACTGGGGCCTTCGGTGGAGCTCCCTATGGGGCCACGAAACGTGTGAGGGGTGTGCCAGAATGGGGGGTGGAACCGCATGCGGGCGCAGCCACTGGGGCCTTCGGTGGAGCTCCCTATGGGGCCACGAAACGTGTGAGGGGTGTGCCAGAATGGGGGGTGGAACCGCATGCGGGCGCAGCCACTGGGGCCTTCGGTGGAGCTCCCTATGGGGCCACGAAACGTGTGAGGGGTGTGCCAGAATGGGGGGTGGAAGCGCATGCGGGCGCAGCCACTGGGGCCTTCGGTGGAGCTCCCTATGGGGCCACGAAACGTGTGAGGGGTGTGCCAGAATGGGGGGTGGAACCGCATGCGGGCGCAGCCACTGGGGCCTTCGGTGGAGCTCCCTATGGGGCCACGAAACGTGTGAGGGGTGTGCCAGAATGGGTGTGGGAGGGGGAGGAGGGGGGAGGAAGGGGAGGAGGAGGAAGGAGGAGGAAGGAGGAACGCGGGGCGACGTCTCTTCAAAACGAGGACCCAACACCACAGGATGGTTGGGAAATAAAGAGAAAGAGAGAGGGAGCGAGAAAGGCAGAGGTGCGTGTATATATCTACACATCTATACGACCACCCTTCGGGTGATAAGGAGGTTGGTGGGGGGAGAAAGAACCAACTGACGACAACTGCGATGGCGGTGATGATGACGATGCTGATGATGCACGTCCTTAAGTTGGCGACGACGGTCTCACTATCGATCTAACCATCGATCTCACCAACGGGACACCGACGGGACACCCGCGGGACACCGACGGGACACAGACGGGACACCATCGGGACACCGTCGGGACACCGGCGGGGCACCAATCGATCTCACTTTCGATCTCACCATCGATCTCACCATCGGTCCTACGATCGGCCTCACTATCGGCCTCACTATCGACCATCGATCTCACCACGGGGCACCGACGGGACACCGACGGGACACCAGCGGACGGTACGGTCGCGAGGGCCAGGGAGCTCAAGGCGAGAAGCACAGGGCGCGCGCGGGGGCGAGGGCCGGCGCCGCGACGGGGCGGCTTCTTCGCCACGGCAGTCGCAGCAAGGCCGCGGGGGAGATTTTTTTGTTGTTTAAGGTCAGGAGGAGAGCCCAGAATCGAATCGATAAGTCGGGCCGGAAGAAATCGGCAGCCTAGTCGGGAAAAATCGAAGCGGCGGAAATCGGCAGGCTTGTAGGCCTCCATTGAAAAATCGGAGCCTGAATCGGAATACGAAGTCGAGTCAAATCGGAATCGGGAGCCATCGAAATCGAATCGAATCGAATCGGAGGAATCGAAATGAGCCCCAGGCAGGTGGTCGCTGGACAGGTGCCCTGCGACGTCCGTCTCGCGTTAGGTCGGGCATGTCCTCATACAGGCGGATTTTTGAAGGAGAATCAAAAGTAGTGAAAAGATGCGCAAAACTATCCGAAAATGAACGGAACATCGTCCCCTGACTATTTTTTGAGTATTTGGGAATCGTCCTCCCGTAGAGGGACGGGCCCGACTTGCGCCTCGCGCGCCTTCTCGCACAGGGTGCGAGGCAGGCCTGCAGCCCCCCGGGCAGGTCCCCGCGGGAAGGCGCTCTGCCGACTCCAGCCGGGCCTGCCGCCCTCTCTCCGAGGGGATCGGCGGGCGGGCCGCGGCGGTCGCCGAGCTCCACTGCCTGCTGGCTGAGCTCCTGGGCGCTGGCCTCCGCACACCCGGGATGGACGCCACGGACGGGAGGCGCTGGCCCGCGGAGAGCTCCCCCTCTGCCCCCCTCGGCAGGCGGAGGCTCGGGGATGCCGACCGAGGGCTTCGGGGATGGCGGCGGTGGCCTCCCGGGGCTCGCAGGGCGCGCGCACGCGGACGGAGGGCGCCGTCCGGCGGACTCTCGTGGCCTCCCGCGGGGTCCAGCCGCTGAGACCCCCGGCTCGCACAGGCGGATCGGGCCCCGACCAAGCGGACGAGGAGATCGTCGTCGTCATCGTCGTCGTCGTCGGAGGAGGAGGAGGAGGAGGAGGAGGAGGAGCGGACAAGAGCGTCAGTTTGGCATCTCGGCGGTGTAGTTCCTGGGCGCACTCGAAGCGGCACGCGGCCCGGGGAAGGACGCCACTCGGAGTGCCGGCTGTGCCAGGACCTGGCCCCAGGATGCTTCCCCGAGCATCAATCATGAGGCGCATCGTGGCCCCGGTGTCGGACAGGATGGAGTGAGGCCAGCCTCTCCTGCCCGCCGTGATGTCTTTACGCAGCGCGCCTCCAGCAGTCTCCAGAGGCTTCGGGGGGGGCCAAACAGAAACAAAAGCCATTACCCCAGTGCGACCCTACCTAGAAGTTGGAGCCCCTAGGAACGCAGCATTAGTTGTTATGCTATGCTATGCTATGCTATGCTATACTATGCTATGCTATGCTATGCTATGCTATGATATGTTATACCATGTTACGCTGCGCTATGCGATACTATGTTATGATATGGAATGATGCGCTATGCTATGTTATGCTATGCTATGGTATGCTGTGCTGAGCTATGGTATGGCATGATGCGCTGTGCTATGCTAAGCTATGCTATGATATGTTATGGTATGACATGATGTGATGTGTTGCGCTATGATATGATATGATATGATATGCTATGATATGTGTGGCTATGACATGATATGATATGCTGTGTTAATGCAGCGCTGCGCTATGATAAGCTAAGCTAAACTAAGCAACGCAAAGCTAACCCTCTAGGCAGAGCCTAGGTAGGGGAATCACACCCATGCTAAGATGGAATGAGCTAAGCTAAGATGAGATAAGCAACGCTAAGCTAAGGGGACGTAACTGGGGGAACCGCGGGGCGGATCCTGGGGGAACCGCCCGGGGCGGTTTCCACTGCCCGGCCCCTTTAAGCAAGGAGAGTAAGAACCCTTCTAGTCAGAGCCTAGGTAGGGAAAAACAGAAAGCAAAACTTCCTCCTCCGCCTCCGCCTCCGCATCCGCCTCCGCCTCCGCCTCCGCCTCCGCTGCCGCCTCCGCCTCCGCTGCCGCCTCCGCCGCCGCCGCCGCCGCCTCCTCCTCCTCCTCCTCCTCCTCCTCCGCCTCCGCCTCCGCCTCCGCACCTGGATTCCCATTCCTCCTCGCCCTCCGCCCCTTGCCCTCGCCACCCGGGGCCTATCGGCGCCGACGGGCAGCACGCGCCATGGAGGCACCCCAGCGCCGCGCCCAGCAGACCCAAGGCTGGCTCCGCCGGCGCCTGAGGAGACCCCCTGCTTGGACCCGCTTTCCTCCACACTCCCCTCGTCGTCGTCGTCGTCGTCGTCGTCGTCGTCGTCCTCCTCCTCCTCCTCCTCCTCCTCCTCCTCCGCCTCCTCCTCCTCCTCCTCCTCCTCCTCCTCCTCCTCCGCTGGCCCAAGATCGCCCCAAGGCGGCCCCAGAGGCCCCCAAGAGGGACCGAAGACGGCTCAAGAGGCGTCCGAAAAAACCCAAGAGGGCCCCAAGAGGGCCCCAAGTTGGGAATTCGAACGGAGATTTCGAGCCATCCGCCCCAAGGGGGCCCCCGAGATCGTCAGGAGATCCCCAAAACACCACAAAGATGCCCAAAGAGGCCCAGAAAAAGCCCCAAGAGGCCTCCAAACGGTCCCAAACGGCTTCAAAACTGCCTCCAAGAGACCTCCAGGAGGCCAGAATCAATGTGCCCCCAAAGGTTTTTCAATGGTTTCAACGTTCTCGCCGTTTCGGGCTTCCGACGCTTCAGGACGGCACCATAGGCCCCCAAGATCGCCCCAAGACCGTCCCACAAGCCCCAAAAAGCCCGCAATACGGCCACGAGGGCCACAAGACAGCCCAACAGGCTCCCAAGACGGCCCCATCGACATCCATGACGGCCCTAAAGCACCAATAGACTGGCCAGAGAGGGTCCCCCAAGTGGCCTCCGAAGGCAAAGAAGAACCCTCTGAGGCCCCCAAGGGCTCCAAGGAAACTCCCAGGAGGCCCTCAGGACGCCCCAGGAGGCCCCAAGGAGGCCCCATTTTCAGAGGTCCCAGCAATGCTCCCAGAAGCCCCACGAAGGCCCCAAGAGGGCCTGAAGAGGTCTCCTCTTATATATGGCTTGTTATACTTAATTGTAGGTTTATAGTCTTCGTATGATCATCATCATTACTATGCGGGTTCTTCTTCGTATGAGTAACAAAGTTAGTACGTCTCTTGATATTCATAATACTATAGACTATGATGGTGGTGATTACTCGTATTAGTATTAGTGTGATTAAACGTAATGATACATTCTTAATACTAATCTCATGATTATGAATCATAGTATTCACATTATTATTACGATTCGTATTATGTGTATTGTCCTTATCATTCTGAATTGCGTTATTCCTCCTCCTTCTCCTCTTCGTCTGTCTTCTCCTCCCTCTCCTCTTTCTGTTCCTGCCCCAAGTGTTCCCACAAGGGGTGCCATAGCGGCCAGGGGGGATTCGCAGTCTAACAACTTGGCCGAACTGCGGCCAAACGTTTGGCCGCATGGGCATTCCCAAAACACAACTGGTGTCGGGGAATCGCCGTAGGCGTCTTCGAAACATTGAATATGCGTAGCACCGTTCTCCGCTGAAGCCCCACGAGCCTTCGAACGTGTCCACATCTGCGCACTGAACAGCGCCCAGGGAACAGAGATGATAGTCTGGATCTGCGAGGCGGCGCACTCCGCTGGACCTCCCTGGAGCCGGCGAAAGTGCCGACAGTTGTGCAGGGAGGCAGGGAGGCGAGGAGGAGGGGGAAGAGGAGGAGGAGGAGGAGGAGGAGGAGGAGGAGGAGGAGGAGGAAGGAGGAGGAGGAGGAGGGAGGAGTAGGGGCGGAGCTGGTGGGGGGGAAGACGAGGGCGGACAGGACGAGGAGGAGGGAGGCGAGGAGGAGGAGAGGAGGAGGAGGAGGAGAAGGAAGAGGAGAGGAGGAGAGGAGGAGAAGGGGGAGGAGGTGGACGAGGAGGAGGCAGCGGGAGGAGGGCAGGAGGAGGGGTAGGAGGTGTGAGCAGGGGGACGAGCAGCAACGCCTGACTCAAAACCAGAACCCAGCACAAAAGAGTCGGGCACACAATCCTCAAATCCATCCCGTCCTCGTCCTCCTCGTCCTCCTCGTCCGTCTCCTCCTTCTCCTCCTCATCCTCTTCTTCCTCTTCCTCCTCCCTCCCTCCCCCTCGTCCTCCTCGTCCTCGTCCGCCTCCTCCTCCTCCTCCTCCTCCTCCTCCTCCTCTCTCTTCTTCCCTCTCGTCCTCCTTCTCCTCCTCCTTCTCCTCCTCCTCCCTCTTCCTCCTCCTCTTCACTACTCCTACTCCTATCCCTCTCGTCCTCCTCTTCCTCCTCCTCCTCCTCCAACTCCTCCTCCTCCTCCTCCTCCTCCTCCAACTCCTCCTCCTCATCGTCCTCCTCGTCCTCCTCGTCCTGTCCGCCTCGTCTAACCCCCCAAGCTCCGCCCCCCCCTCCCCCTCAGCAGCCGGCGGGGGCGGGCGGGCGGGCGGCCACTGTCGGGAGGGCCACTTGAGACTCCGGCGGTCCTCCCGAAAGGGGAGGATGGAGAAGGGAGGGAGGGAGGGGGGGATGAGAGAGGACGATGGAGGAGGAGGAGGAGGAGGAGGAGGAGGAGGAGGAGGAGGAGGAGCAGGAGGAGGAGGAGGAGTTGTCATCGAGGCGCGGCCAGCAGCGCGCGGCGTGGGCGGCAGCGCTGCCAGACTCAGGCGAAGCCCGACAACGAGAGCTCGAGCACCTCGGACACCGCGAAGGCGGAGTGCGTCACAAGCTGTCTGGGAGAAGACGCCGTCGTCGATACATCCCAGGACCCTCTGCGCCTTCTGGATGCCGTCCTCGAGCTCGTCGAAGCGGTCCGGGTCGCAGCCGTCGTCGGCGGACGCCCTGCGCTCGTCGAGCTGGCGGCGGAGAGATTCGAGGCGTGCGCGGCGCGGGCATGCCACCGGCGACGCCGACGTCCCGAGCGGTGAGAACCGGCAACCGACGCTGTCCTGGACCGCCTCGGCCACGGGGGGTGGGGGCCGTCTGCACAGGGGCCACGGCCGTCGGCGCAGGCGAGGCGGGGGCCCGCGGCGCAGCGCACCCCCCGCGCGGCCAGGAGTCGGGGGGGTCCAAAGAGCAGGATGCGGAGACCATGGCATTGCATGAGCAGCGGCTGCCCCGCATCTGGTCCATCGCCACCTCCACGGCAGGGGGACTCGAGGGAGGACGTCTCGGCGACCGTCCCGTCGCCGACTCCCGGGGAGGGAGCAGCACTGGCAGCGCCGACCAGCGTGCAGTCGAAGCTGCCCTCGACGGAGGGGTCCTCCACGTCCTCGGCCACCACGCCGAGGCCGCCCACGAGCTGCAGAATCCGCCGGCGCCACGGGGCAGACGGGAGCGGCACCCGCACGCGAGGCCGAGGCAGCAGCTGCTGCACCCGCGGCGGCCAGAGCACTTTCCGTTGCGCGAGCCGCTCAGGGGCCAGGTTGGCGCGGGCCTCGCGCTGCACACGCCGCCGCGCCGCGGCTCCGGAGCCCGACTGCGGAGGGCGGAGCGCGTGGTTCAACCCGCGCTGCACTCGAGGAGGTCCACCCGCTCCAGCTTCGTATAGCCTGCAGCTGCGGCGTCAGGGCGGGCGCGATGAGTGCCAGCCCCCTGGAGGAGGAGGAGGAGGAGGAGGAGAAGGAGGAGGAGGAGGAGGAGGAGGAGGAGGATGGAGGCGGAGGAGGAGGAGGAGGCGGAGGAGGAGGAGGAGGGCAAAGCGTCGGCGAGGCACTCCAGCTCCGGGCGCCGAGCCGCCTGCCGGTGGGCGAGCCTCTCGCGGGTCTGCGCGGCCCAGCACTGACCCGCACGCCGTGCCCCGTGTGGGAGCGCCGCGGAGGAGGCGCGGCGGCCAGCCGTGCCTGCGGTCGACCCCCCGTACGAGACGCAACGATAGGGAAGGACTGGCAAACGGGAGGATGCATCGACCTGGAATCGGCGATACATCGCCGATAGATCGGCGATGGGCCTCCGATAGTGCATCCGCATCTTCCTGGGCAGATTGGGCCCCTGTCGGCGATCAATGGGCTATTTGGGGTCGATGCCCCCGATCCGCCACCGCCCAGGAAGAGGCCGAGGGGCAGCGGCGCGAACGCCGCAGGATGTCGGCTTTGAAACAAAAATGGCTCGGAGAAGAAGTAGAGGGGAGGAGGAGGAGGAGGAGTGAGGAGGAAGGAGGAGGAGGAGGAAGAGGAGGGGGAGGAGGAGGGGAGAGGGGGAGAGGATGAGGAGGAAGGAGAGGAGAGGAGGTAGGAGAGGAGGAGGAGGAGGAAGGAGGAAGGAGGAGGGGGAGGAGGGAGGATGAGGATGAGGAGGAGGAGAGGAGGAGGAGGAGGAGGAGGGAGGAGGAGGATGGAGGAGGGAGGAGGAGGAGGAGGAGGGAGGGGAGGAAGGGAGGGGGGATGAGTGATGAGGATGGAGGAGGAGAGGAGGAGGAGGAGGAGGGGAGGGCGGAGGGAGGGAGGGAGAGGAGGGCGGGAGGGAAGGGAAGGGAGGGAGGGAGGGAGGGGGTATGAGGGAGGACGATGGACGAGGAAGAGGAGGAGGAGGAGGGAGGAGGAAGAGGAGGAGGAGGAGGAAACCTGGGCAGGAGGAGCAGCTGGGGCGGGCGGGCTGGGCAGGCCGCTCGTCCTCTGCCTTCCAGCGCCGCCCTTCCTCAAAGGACGGCGCGCGGCGCCGGAGGTGGCAGCATCGACGCCGGCACGCGGGCAGCCTCGTCCTTGCCCTCCACGTGCAGGCTCGACCTTTGCTAGGGTTGGGTCACGGGCATGTCCCCCTGCAGGCCGACCTTCGACGAAAAATAAGATGCGGAAAAAGCACGGTCAAAAAAGTGTCGCAGAATCGTTCCCCTACGATTTGTTGACTGTATCTGGATACTCCTCCTGTAGAAGAGCATGCCCGACTTACTGCTAGGGCGGGGATGCGGGGGATCGAGAGGGTAGGATCGGATATATCATCGAGGTGGTTGAACGTTTTGACCCTTTCGGGTTGGGCCTGTGGAGGCCTCCAGGGGCTTCTGGAAGCGCCCCAGGATCTCTGGGCATCCCTGGGGAACCCCCAGGGACTTCTGGAGACGTCCCCAAGAGGTCCGAAGGACGATGTTTCGGATGCTTCGATTGGCTTTTTGGGTCCTCCTGGGGCGCCCCCGTGGCCACGACTGGATCTCTTTCGAACATATAGCCAGAACACATCCCAGGAGAAGACCGTTTTTGTTCGGAGGGGGCTCCAAATACCGGCTTCACACAGGATTGGTGGCACACCGGAGATGTCTGCGCCGCGATATTGTGTGCCGCATCGTACTTGACTACATCGCAGTGCATCGCGAGGCCTCCCAAGAGATCCCCACAGGCATCCAACTGGCCTCTGACCTACAACCAAGGCACGGTGGCGGGATGGGCCCAAGACCACTCGACCTGCTCGGCACGGGGACGGACAGCGCGAGCACTTCGCGAGGGCACGCCGTCGCTTGCTTAGGGTCTTAGAGCCCTGTTGGTGTTAAAACTTTGCCACGTCACACAAACATCTGACACACAATCTTGGCAAAATCAGTGCACATGCCTCACCTGGCCTTCGTGGGGCTCCTTTGAGGGCTCTTTTGGGCCTTCTTGCGACCCTCTTGGGCTGTCCCGGGACTCTCTTGGGCCGTCTTGGGGGGCTTGGGCTGTCTTTGGGGCCTTTGGGGGCGCTCCTGGGCCCTCTTGGGGGCTTCCAGTGGCCCTCTTGGGGCTCTCTTGGGAACCTTATTGGGGCTCTATTAAGCTGTCACTTGGGCCGTCTCGGGGCCCTCTTGGGCCATCTTGGGGCGGTTTGGAGGCCTCTTGGGCTGTCTTAGACGGCATGAACACGAAAAAAACGAATGTGCCAAAAATGTTCGCTTCCCCAAGGGAATGGGGCGCATTTTGCATCTTGGGGGTGCTCTTGAGGGCCTCTTGGAGCGTCTGGAGGGTCGTTTTTGCCTCCGCGGAGATGGGCAGGGGCGGGGGAGAGAGGACAAGGAAGAGAAGGCGGAGAGGGTGGAGGACGAGGAGCGAGAAGGAAGGAGACCCTGGGGTGAAAGGGGAATGGAAATTGATTCCAGCCAACCTCTCCCTAACCGACCAACTGGCCAGCCCCCCTCTGAATTTCCCAAGTTTGGCGCCCAGGACGCTTGTCGAAGATAACGACCCGGTATCCCATGCACTCGCTGGTGGTAAGTTTCACGACGCCAATGGCCGAGTACGCAGGCGCCACAACGAATGCCCCCAAAAAACGATTGGCCAGCAGCGAAACCAACCCAAACAATCCCAGAACAAAACCGAACTGGGCCAGAGCAAAACGAGCCCGAGCCGAAACGGACCAAAAGGAAACGGGCCGAGGCCGAAACGGGCCGGGACGAAACAAACCGGGGCCGCAATGGGCCAGGAAACAGACTGAAGCCGAAACGGGCTGGGCCGCAACGGGCCGAAGCCGAATGGAGCCGAAACGGGCTGGCGCCGAAACGGGCCGAAGCCGAGAGCGGCCTCGTCCACGTGCAGAAGCCCCAATGGGGCCCCAAGAGGGCTCCACTTCCTCCTAGTCCTCGTCCGCCTTCTCCCCCCTCTCATCCTCGTTTCTCTTCATCGCCCCAATTTTCCCCCAAAGGGTTCCACAACGGCTGGGGGAACACATAGTCTAACAGAGTGGCCAGACTTCGGCCGAACGTGTGGCTGCATGGGCGCTTCCAAAAGGCAGGGAGGGGGCGGCAGTGATTCGCCGTAGGCGTCTCCGATCTGCCGCTCAAAACGTTTGCCACAGGGGTGCATGGCGTGCTGAACTTTTGGTTGTTTCCAGTAATTTTTGAAAACTTCCAACAGGGTATCGGCCAATCCCGTCGCCACCCCAGAAAGCTTCCCTGGAGGTGGGAGGCAAGGGTTCTTCAGATGGCTCTAAGTTGGCCCGAAATGACCTCCAAGACGGCCAATATGGCATCCAAGACGGACAAAACGGCCCCAAGAAAGCACAAGGTGGCACCGAGATGTCTCCAAGACGGCCCAAAATGCACCCAAGACGGCCTAAGGTGGCCTCAAGATGGCCCAAAATGGCCCGAGCGGCCCACACGAGGGTTCCAAGAGGACCTCAAGGAAACCAAAAGCATGGCTGCTCCTTCGGTGGCTCAATGCATCTAGCTTGCAAAAAGGGCACAAAGGGGATCCAAAACGGCCCAAAAGAACCCCGATACGGCCCCTTAGACCTGGCCCGGCACAGAAACGGAAAGAGCGCTTCAGAAACAGAAACCGAAATTACTCACACCACCGTTCGTACCAGGACCCTTGTCGTTGAGAGCTTGTTACGGCACCCCTCGCTCGTGGGAGCCTTGGTGTTCAGAGATTGTTGCGTTGCCGCCCGTTCCTGAGCCTTGGCTGGGCCTTGGTGTCAGGAACTTGTGACGTCACCGCTCTGCTGGGAGCCTGGGTCTTATCAGCTTGTTTACGTCCCGGTTCGCTCTTGGGAGCCTTGGTGTGAAGAGCTTTTTGCGTTACCGATCGCTCTTTATTTGGCGTCTCTGGGCCTTCTTGGGAATTCTATTGGGGCACTTGTAGAGCCCTTTTGGGGACCTCTTGGGGGCCTCTTGGGGGCCTCTTGGGGGCCTCTTGGGGCTTCTTGGGGGGTTCTTGGGCCTCCTGGGAGCGTCTTGGGCCGAAAGGCTAGACTTTCGGGTTCGTGGACCCCCTCTTGGGGCCGTCTTGGGGCCCTCTTGGGCCGTCTTGGGCGCCTCCTGGGCCGTCTTGGCGTCCTCTTGGGCCGTGTGGGGGGCCTCTTGGGAACCTCTTGGGCCGTCTTGGGGCGGTCTTGGGGGCCTCTTGGGCCGTCGTCAACGCCGTGAAAGCCGCAAAGCAGTGCATGCTACAAATGTAAGTTTTCGCATCGCAAATCTATGATGTTGGCCTCCTGATGGCCTCGTGGGACGCCTTTGGGGGGCCTCTTGGCTTCTTGGGGGGCTGTGGGGGCCTCCCGTGAGCGTCTTGGGGCAATAGGCTAGACTTTTCGGTTCGTGGTCCCCCTCTTGGGGCCGTCTTGGAGCCCTCTTGGGCCGTCTTGGGCGCCTCTTGGGCCGTCTGGCGGCCCTCTTGGGCCGTTTTGGGGGCCTCTTGGGAGCCTCTTGGGCCGTCTTGGGGCGGTCTTGGGGGCCTCTTGGGCCGTCGTCAACGCCGTGGAAGCCGAAAAGCCGCATTTCCTATGGAAAATCAATGATTTGGGCCTCTTGGGGCCTTCTTGGGACGCCCCTTGGGCGCCTCTTGGGGGCCTCTTGGGCGGTCTTGGGCGGTCTTGGGCCGTCTTGGAGCCCTCTTGGGCCGTCTGCAGGGAGAATCCGATAAACATGCAAAACCAAAAGGAAAAACCCCCAAACGGCCATTAGAACTCATGTGTACGCGGTACGCCCCTCCCTGGAACCCCCCCATTAAGGTGCTTCGCCCAAAACACGACGTCATCACTCGTACCTCGCTCTTTCCGTTACCTGGGCCGGCACGGAAACGGAAAGAGCGCTTCAGAAACAGAAACCGAAATTGCTCACACCACCGTTCGTACTGGGAGCCTTGGCGTTGAGAGCGTGTTACGGCACCCCTCGCTCGTGGGAGCCTTGGTGTGCAGAGATGGTTGCGTTGCCGCCCGTTCCTGAGCCTTGGCTGGGCCTTGGTGTCAGGAACTTGTGACGTCACCGCTCTCTGCTGGGAGCCTGGGTCTTATCAGCTTGTTTACGTCCCGGTTCGCTCTTGGGAGCCTTGGTGTAGCTTTTTGCGTTACCGATCGCTCTTTGTTTGGCGTCTCTGGGCCTTCTTGGGAGTCCTCTGGAGGCCCTTTTGGAGCCCTTTTGGGGGCCTCTTGGGGGCCCCTTGGGGGCCTCTTAGGGCTTCTTGGGGGGTTCTTGGGGCCTCCTGGGAGCTTCTTGAGGCGAAAGGCTAAACTTTTCGGTTCGTGGTCCCCCTCTTGGGCGCCTCTTGGGCCGTCTTGGGGCCCTCTTGGGCGGTTTGGGGGGCCTCTTGGGAGCCTCTTGGGCCGTCTTGGGGCGGTCTTGGGGGCCTCTTGGGCCGTCAACGCCGTGGAAGCCGAAAAGCCGTATATGCTACAAATGCACGCTTTCCCACAGAAAATCAATGATTTGGGCCTCCTGGGGCCCTCTTCGGACGCCCCTTGGGCGCCTCTTGGGGGCCTCTTGGGGGCCTCTTGGGCCGTCTTGGGAGGTCTTGGGCTCTCTTGGAGCGCTCTTGGGCCGTCTTTGGGGGGAACCCGAAAACATGCAGAAACCCAAAGGAAAACCCGAAAATGGCCATTATCAACCCTGCGTTCCCCCCTCGCCCCTCCCCTGGACCCCTCCCTGAAGGGCTTCGCCCCACACTAGAACGTCATCACTCGTACCTCGCTCTTTCTGTTACATTCAAGACGGCCCTCAAGCACCCGGAGAGGGGCCCACGACTGCCCAAAGACGGCACCAAGACTGTCTCTGGAGGCGAAGAGGTCCGGTGGAGGCTCCCAGAGGCCAGCAAGAGGCCCCAAGAGGGCCTTACGAGGCCTACTATTCTTCCTCCAAGGAATGGCGACTTGGCACGATTGGGTGCAAATTCTCAGAGACAGCTGCCTTCTGAGAAGGCAAGGGGCGGCGGTGACTCCCGTAGGCGTCTTCGATCCGCCACCCCCTGTTGCGTTGCCAGAGGAGTACACTGCGTGCCCGACTCCAGGGTGTTTGAACACATGTGTAAGTTCTCCTCCTCCTCCTCCTCCTTTTCCCCCTCCTCCTCCTCCTCCTCCTCCTCCTCCTCCTCCTCCTCCTCGCCCTCCTCCTCCTCCTCCTCCTCCTCCTCATCCCTCCTCCCCCTCCTCCGCCTCCCTCCTCCCCCTCCTCCCCTCCTTCTCCCCTCCTCCTCCTCTCCTCCTCCCCTCTCTCCTCCGCCTCCTCCTCCTTCCTCCTCCTCCTCCCTCCTCCTCAAAATTAATCATCCTCCTCCTCCTCCTCCTCCTCCTCCTTCCTCCCCCCTGCATTCCCAGAGTGGGGTCTCGGCCGATCGCGCTGGCCACTCACGAGAGGACCGGGAGGGCCGCCCGAAAAAAGAGGGGAGCGGACGCCCTACGCCCTCCGACGACCGCCCCCACCCCCCGCCACACTTAGGTTACAGGGGTGAATGGGTTATGACCCGTGGCCTCCAAGATGCACTGCTCCGCTTGCAGACGTGCTCCTCCTCCTCCTCCTCCTCCTCCTCCTCCTCCTCCGCCTCTCCTCCTCTCCTGCTCCGCCTCCTCCTCCTCCTTCCTCCTCCTCTCCTCCTCCTCCTCCTCCTCCTCCTCCTCCTCCTCCTCCTCCCCCTCCTCCTCCTCCTCCTCCTCCTCCTCCTCCTCCTCCTCCTCCTCCTCCTCCTCACGTGCTGCGGCGGATTTTCGCGTGGGTCCCTGTCAATGTCAGGAGGCAACTACTGGGGGGGACTCGTCAGAAAGAGTAAGGAGAATCAAGCCCAAATTGGGAGCTGTTACGCCGGAGTGGGCCTCGGACTAAGCAGGATTGAGCCGGATTAAGCGGGACTGAGCGGGATTGAGCCGGATTAAGCCGGATAAAGCCCGGTGTCGGACCAGGGCAAAATCAGAATTCGACCTCCCAGGAGTTGAATCCGAATCAATGTAGAACCCCGAAACAGCGAGCGAAAGTCGAAATGAACTTCACGTGAATGTTGTTTATCTTCAGTCCTGGCCAACAAGATCCGCACGGAATTCACTTCGAAATCCGGAACGAAATTCTCCAGGACACTCTGGGCCCATCCTATTGTTTTCCTAACGAAATCCGCTCTGCGATGTTGGCGCCATGACAAGATGGCCCAGATGGCACAAGGCGGCCTCCGAATCGGAAATCTTCTGACCCGGGTCAATCCAGACCCGGGTCAAACGGGTCTTGCAGGATCCTGCAAGATCCTGCACCGAAACCTGGCCCAATGCGAAGGATTCTGCAAAATCCTGCAGGATCATGCACCCAAACCCTGGTCAATGCGACTTTGGCCCTGCAGGATCCTGAAAGATCCAGCGCTCTGGCTGACCCCCGTTTGCATTGACCCCCGTCTCAAGGCTACCGACCAAAAACGGTGAACGGTGAACCGGCGTGCGCCGGTGCGCGCCCTGCTTGGGCTGCCGGATGGAATTCTCACAGACCTGCACCACAGTTCTGGATGCTGACGACATCTGGTTTCTCTTAGAACTCCTCACAATACGGTCCCAAAGTTCTTCACAGTGGTCCAGATGGCCTCCAAGATGCCTCCAGAACGGCCAAGATGGCCCCAAGACGGCCGAAGATGTCCTGCAGACGGCCAAGGAAGCCCTCAAGACGCCCCAAGAGGGCTCCACGAGGATCTCCAGGACGCTGGTTTGTCATTATTGAGTTTGGTGCTCTCTCGCCTGTTCGGGCTTCCGAGGTTCCAAGACGGCCCCACAAGCCCCCAAGATTGCCCCGAGATTGCCTCAAGGCGGCCAAAAAAGGCGCGCAAGGGGCTCGCAAGACAGCACAAAGGGGCCCAAAATGGCCCAAGAGGACCCCAACACGGCCCCACAGACCTTCACAACACAGCCCTCAGGCGCCCAAGGACCCACATGACTGCTCAGAGACGGCCCCAGGACTGCCTCCGAAAGCCAAGAAGTCCCTTGGAGGCTCCCAGAGGCCCGCAAGAGGCCAGCAAGAGGTCTCGTGAGAGGCCCTATAGGAGACCCCAAAAGCCCCCCAGAGGCCCCCCAGAGGCTCCTAGCAAGTCCCCAGGAGGCCCCAAGAGGGCCTCAAGAGGCCTCCTCTACTTCTTCCTCTTCCTCGTCCTCCTCGTGGTCCTCCTATCATACTGTACTCATTCCTCCTTCGCTCCAAAATATTTTTGTCCCAAAAGGTTCCACAACGGCTGGGGGAACACATAGGCCGATAGCGTGGCCAGACTTCAGGCGGCGGTGATTCGCCGAAAGCGTCTTCGATAAACATGTGACAGCCCAAACGAATAGGAGAAAGAAACTGTATGTCGCGTTTGTTCCCGCACCCAGCCCACCATCGGTCGGGAGCCTTCGGCCCACCAGCAGCTCGACGCCAGGATGCATCAACGCAAATTCTAAAGTCTGGCGTCGGGTCTTAGCGAGCGATGGATATAGACATTATTCCGCCCGCAGTGGAGAGCAAACATCCATATCCACCGCTTGTCGAGGTCCCTGGGCACGACCCCGCAGCGGTGGGCATGGCAGTCAATGCGTGCTAAACTGGCTGAGGGAACGGGCAAAGACACGCGCGCATGCATGCGATGAGGAGGATGAGGAGGAGGAGGAGGAGGAGGCGGTGGAAGGACCGGAGGTGCCCGCTGTGGCTCACCGACGGCCGCCCGAGGCTGCGGTCTGGGAGAAGCTCGAGGAACCGCCGCTGGGGCCGTGTTTCTACTGCTCCTCTCCTGGCGGCTCCTGCCGATCACGACGCTAGGAGGCAACTACTGGGAGGTCTTCGTCGGAAGGATTCAAGGAGGATTAAGCCCCGTTGGGGGGCTGCTACGCCGGATTAGGCCGCGGATTAAGCAGGTTCAGCCGGATTTAGCGGGATGGAGCCGGAATGAACGGACTAAGCCGAATTTCGGATCAGAGCACAAGGTCAGAATTTGACCTCCTAGGAGTTGCATCCGAAACGATGGGTCCACGACAATGATGTATCTACACCCGCAGGTGTGAACACGCGCCCACGAGGACGTCGGGCATGGCCGGATGTGGACGCCGTCCCACCCCTAGAAGGGCGGGAAACCATCCACGTCCAGCGAGCCGCGAGATTCTCGCGGGGCACGCAGTCGAATCGGTGGGCGTGCGCGCGGGAATTGAAGAACTCAACGTCGGCGGTGGCCGGAGGGAAGATCGTAGTGGGCACGGGCTCGTCGAGCTCGACAAGTTGATCCTGACCTCTGGGAAGCTCTGAGGCTGACCTTCGCGGGGCAATACTCCACACCACACGCACTCTCCTTTGTCTCCCCCTCCCACCTCCCGCCTCCCCACTCCCTCCCCCTCCTCCTCCTCCTCCTCCTCCTCCTCTTCCTCCTTCACCCTCGCCTCCTCCGCTCTCCTCGTGGAGCGCGTCTGGTGGTGGGCCAAGACTCACCCCAGAACTACGCTGCAAGTCATCCCCCTCCGCAGCGACGATAGGTGCAGGACCGACCGCGCCGCGCTGCTCCGCCCTTTCGGCTCGAGAGTCCAGGAGCCTCCCCACCTCGCACCTCTCCGGCACTGTCAAAGCTCTTTGAGCATCGACTGTCGAAGGCCCAGGCCGCCCAGGGAAGCTGCCTCGTAGGCGAAAAGCATGACCACCCGCCGTTCTCATCCTTCCCCCCTTCTGCAGGCTCTCCCCCTTCGGAAAGAAAAGCAGAAGGCAAGCGAAAGAGCAATGAGAGTCCTCTCTGACTTGGAAATCCGACCGGCCCCTCCAGTAACGGGGAGGTGAGGGCTTCGGTGCGACACAAACTGTGCTGGAGAAGGGGGAGGAGGAGAAAAAGGAGGACAACGAGATCGTGAAGGAGGACCACATCTGCAAGTCTAATCTGCGTACTTCGGAGACGGGAGCACTGCAGCGCAACTTGCAATGCCTGCGATGAGAACAAATAATGCTAGTGATTGTTTTTCGGTGGTGCAATCTGATACCGAATGGATTCCGCCAAGGTTCTCGAGAGCCGTCAGACGTGCAAGACAGAAGCCAAAATACAAAAATCCGCTCCCCGTTAGGGGATAGAAGGAGGTGAAAGGTCTGTGCACGATGTACACAGGTCCAGGGTGGCCGAGGGCGGGCAAGCTTGAGCCCAGGCAGTTATGGAAACGGGTGATAACTGCAGGGGTGCAACAGACTAAACACTCATAGCAAGACCGTGCATCGCACAACCATGCTAGTGATTGTTTTTTCGGTGGTGCAATCTGATACCGAATGGATTCCGCCAAGGTTCTCGAGAGCCGTCAGACGTGCAAGACAGAAGCCAGAATACAAAAATCCAAACCCTTTGGCATAGTCGAAGTTCTCAGCGCAGCGGTACCCAGACCATTGCCGTACGGAGGTGCGGGAAGGCGTCAACCTTGATGTAGTGCGAGAAAGTCTCGAAGAAACGAAGAACGCAGCACTGCACATATTACAAGTCGAGTAGGATCTTAGCGAGGAACTTTGCCAGACGATAAGGATATTGGGCGGCCCTCGAGGTCATCGTTTTACCCTCCAGAATCAAATGTTTATGACCAGGACGGAACGAGCAGAAACCGCGCTTCCCGTGGCATCTGAGGCGATCCGGGAAATTGATAGCCAGGTTGCCTGACTCGGTGGGGCAGCCGATGACAATCCGCGTGGATTTCCTCCAATGAGCACCGAAAGCGCACTGATGCAGGTTTATAGCCCACGAGTGCGGAAGAACATGAGCGGCCACATTATCTTGCCGCCACAAGTACGAGCCCATTGGATTCTCCATAGCATAAGGGATCTTGAAATGAACGCACAACCGAATGATGTAGACTGCGACAGATAAGCATAAGTTTCCAATCTTTACTGTTTCACGATCATGGGCTCGCAATCGTGGTAGGCCCTGAGGAAACTTGGCACTCCTGACGGGGTACCTGTTCCGGGCCAGCGAGAAGGACGCGCACGGAGGCGCAATCATCACAGCACGAATGAGACCACGGCGAAAATGATCCGCGATGATGCGGAGGTTAGCAGCACTGCACACATCCTGATCAGCACCCTGCCGAAGGTCTAAGCTGATGGCAGGTACCCCCAGCTTGCGAGCCCACGCGGCGACCCCTCCACCACCGGCGAAGAGATCCAGGAGATACGGAGCCTTCTGCGCCTTGAGCACGGCGCAGGCGGCGGCCTTGCTCAGGCCGTGGGGCGCTGGGATGCTGGAACGGGTGCGGGGCGGCCGTGAAGGATGACATCCTCCATCACCCTCAGAGCAGCCACGCAGAACGACTTCGTGAGCTCCGACAGGCCTTCCCACGACTCGTTCAGCCTGCCCGCCTTCTCGTAGCGCTTGACCGAGGTGAGTGTGGCCCAGCGCCCGCGTTTCTGGACCTCCTCTTGAGTCCGGCGGTTCGAGGCCCTGTCCAGGCTTGCCCCGGAGTGTCTCCCCTGGTAGGGCACCGCGTCGACCCCGATGTTGTGAGCCGCCCGCCTGAACAGCGCCAAGAACTGCGGGTAGGTCAGGCCGAGCAGCGGCTGAGACGACCCTCGATCGCGAAGGGCCCGGTAGATGTGATGCATCCAGGCCATCCTTCCTGAATCGATCGGGATCGAGTCGTCCGACGACCCCGTCTTGCTGCGCGCCGTGCCGCTCTCCGGGAAGAGGAGCAGCACCCAGTTGTCCACGGCGTGGCTGCAAGGCGGCAGGAACGAGTTCGACGTCAGCCCCAGCATCTCGCCGGGTCGAAGATAGCACTCCACCATGATGAGCACCATCACCCCGGCGAGAGGAGCGCCCAGCCTGGCCATCTCGACCGCGATGCCCGCCCATATCGCGAACACCAAGGGCTTCCGCGATCTTGATGGGCTGAGCCGCTTCCAACCTTTGAGAGTACGAAGGGCACGTGGCATGTAGAGGCCACCCGACTTCCCATAGTCCGGGTGGAAGAACATCATCGCAGCAATGAGCTTCTCTCCACGCCAGCTCTTGACCCCCTCGAGGAAGAGCTTGTTCATATACTCGACCAACTTCACGTCCAGCACGGCCGACGCGGGCATGGCTGTCAGCAAGAAGCCTGCCCAGGCACAGAACGCGAGGGCGCACTCTCGGTAGGTCTCCAGCGACCTGGCCCCCACCGAGCGCTTCTCCAAGTAGCTCAGCCCCGCGTTGTGGCCGTGCCTCCAGATGTCGCCGCCGTGGGCCTGGATGGCCCTGCGGACGCGAGCCTTGCCCCGAAGCTCGAGGTTCCGGCGCGAGGCGGTCACCGCCCGCCGCTCCTCCACGTCGCTGCTCTCGTAGCTCTGTGAGGCGCCCGCGTCCACGGCCGCCGCGGGGACGCCGGCGCTTGCTGGAGTCAGCTTGCCTGCCGGCGTCTCGAGGAAGGCCTCCACGGTGTCCGTCTGCGCCGGGCAGTGCGGCGGGGCGGCAGCCACGAGCCTCGCATCCAGGCCCTGGGACGCGTCCAGCACACGCGCCCGCCTCGCCGGCGGGGCCGCCGCAGAGCTGCTCGCGCTCGCCCCCGGGCTCAGGGTGCGCACTCTGCGAGGCGCGTTCGCCGCCGGCTCCTGCAGGGAGCCCGCGGCCGGCGCCTGCGGCGGCAGGCTGCCGCGCTGCAGCGTCCGCTGGCGGCCCGGCGAGGCCGGCTGGGCCCCCTCCATCGCACTGCCGCGATGAGCCTGAGGACACGGGACCCGAGGCCTGGTTTGAGCCTAAATGGGATACGAGGGTCTTGGAGCTGTCATATTCTGGATCAAACTTCCGACTGCCTTCATCGCCAGAGTTGAACTCGCTTGGTATCCATCGGACAACAAATCTGATGTTTCTCGCCAGACAGAGCGCAGCAAAACGTCGGACCTGAATTAGCAGCCGAAAATCCCTGGACCTGAAACGACAAAAACAGAGCACTACCGAGAGATTGTCCCCCAGTAGGAGGACGCGGCAGTCTTTGACTGGCTGAGAATGGGCCGCACGAGAGGCAGCCTTCACCAGTGCTCTGGCCTCAAGCCTCAGAATATCGTCAGCAAAAACCCAGCGATCTGCCATCACGGTCTTCCAGTGGGAATCGTGAAGCAGCTCATGCGGGACCTCGGGGAACCCCGGGTCGCACTCCCAGCGCTCGCTGTTGAGGATGTCCAGCAGCTCGGAGTCGAGCCGCCTCGGCGCCCCCTCGGCGTCGCGGACAACCTCGCCCGTCTCTGAGTTCAAAAAAAACCGGCACTCTCGAAGGCGTGCTGACGAGCCAGACCAGCGCCCAAACGCCACCGACTCAGCTCCGAGATGCGGCCGACCAGAGCCACCTGGGCAGAATCGAACTCCGCCTCTGCGACGCCGTATCCGTAAAGGCTGGCGTCCGACGAGTAAACGAAAGGCATCCAGTCGCGGTCCCAGCGAGCCTCGAGCATCACCATCAATCCCAAGAAGCACTCCAGTTCCTCTCGAACAGTGGGCCAAAGGACTGAAAAGGTGTGATAGCTGCTCGTCACGAAAGCGTACACTGCGTGAAAGATAGACAGCAGCTCGCGCCGAACCAAGGCCATGAACGTCATGTGGCCCAGCACCATCTCAAGCTGCCACCCGGCAACCTTGCGCTGCCTGAGGAGACATCGCAGGCCCTTCCGCACGGCTGCGAACCTCTCGTCCGTAGGCCGCGTGCAGAGCCTCGCTCCATCCAGGTGGCAGCCCAGTGTACGACCACCTCCCACGTGAAGTTCAACCTCATGAAACTTGAGATGGTCACGATCGAAATCGGACTGGGCTTCGTGAAGGGCTGAGCGGACGGCGGTGTCTGACAAACCAAGGACGCCGGCGTTATCGACGTACATGAAGTGGCCGAGGTCCTCACTATGTGGCCCGCGGCGAAGGACAAGAGGCGGCCCTCGATCACTGAGCCGCAAGCTCTTTGCCAAGGACGGCTGCCGATCGAGCCGCGACTGGTTGGCCGCCTGCGCGAAGAAGAGCGACCATGAGAAGCCCATCGGCAAGCTCTGACTCATGGGCCACACCATCTCCGAGTCGCCAGCCGCCTGACCCTCGATGAGGGTCTCGCCTGTGGCAGAGGCTAACAGCGGCGGCCAGCAGAAGTAGCGCCGAATGTCGCCGTCCAGCTTCATCCGATGGAAGCAGTCGGCGACGTCGCCGACCCCCAGGACAACGCGCAGCTCGCTGAGGTCCCCCTCCTTAAGCACCGGCACCTCGATGCGGCCAAGCCCTTCACCTGACAGCAAGTCGACACCAGGCGGGGGACGAAAAAGAGCATTGCTGCGTCTACAGTCCACGATGAGGCGCAGGCGCTCACCATCCTTCTTCTTTACAAAAAAACAGTCCAAGAACGCTCAAAGGTCGTCGGGTCAAAGTCACGAGCCCGATCCTGAGCGCCCGTCTCACGAACTTCGCGTAACTCCGAGGACGTTGGAGCAGCAGAGGGTCAGTATGACAACCAGGAAGTCCATGAAGCTCTCGTATTAGTGCCGCCTCACGAGGGGGAAGCAGCATCTTGGTGGAGTACTCCTCGAGAAAAATCCTCGCCTCCGCAGGTAGCATCTGGGCCAGACTGGGGGCGTCCAGGACGCAGTCCGGCAAGCTGACCCGCGAGTACTCGTAGGAGCCCATGCTGGTAGAGCCAAGAGGAGCGTAGCCCGCCTTGCCCTTCAGAAGCTTGGCCAAAGCCTCCTTCTCTGTGATGGCGCTGACAACGTCAATCCAGCGACGAGCCGCCGAGAAGACGCGCTGCTGCACATCGGCCCTGATGAGATCCATCTTACGCTGGCTTACGCTCCCCTCGGGCGCCGTGCCACTGCGATGCTCACCACCGTGCAAGTAATTCAAGCTCTTGCAGGCTGCGTTGCCGTCTCGCAGCCAGCGGCGCCGCTGACCAGGCGTCAGGCCGTCGCACCAGTCGTCAGGGAGCGCCGCCAACGGGGCTATGGGCAGGCAAGCCGACCCACGGAGCCCCGAACTGCCCTTCGTTCTGCGGGAGACGGTCGGGCACTCGCCTCCCTCGGCCTCGGGCGTCATGTGCCCGGCGGGCGGCGGCCACGGCCCCGCCCGCCTCGACCGCGGCCCCTGCCGGCCGCATCACCTCCCTCAGCGCCGACCGCGGCGCCGCCGGCAGCTCCAGCGGCGGGCAGGCCGCCAGAGGCGACGGCCGCGGCTGCCGCGCCCGCGCCGTCGGCTGGAGCAGCGCCGGGGACGCGGGACCGCATCCGCAGCGCCTCCAGCTCCTGCTCCTCCTTGGACAGTCGGCTGGCATAGCTCCGGAGCGCGTCGGGCACCAAGTCGAGCGGGTTGGTCGTGCCGCCCAGGTGCTTCGCCGCGCCCCAGTTCGCGTTCTCGGCCCCGTGCGCGTAAGCCTCCACATACTGCAGCAGCCGCCGCGAGACCACCTCCAACGACGCCAGGGCGCCCATGTTGAGCTGGTCATAGGTCCCCGCCAGGTACAGCACTTCGATCAAGGTCTGCACCTCGTGGTAGGCGCGATCCTTCCTGGTCACGCCCTGCTCCTTGCACCACTCCTGAAACCACATCTTGGGCGTGCCACCGTGGCGATACATCTTACGACAAATCTCGAGGCAGGCGGGAGGCCCACGGATGCTCGAGTCCGAGAAGATCTCCTGTGTGCTCTCCTGCACGACCTTCCTCCACTCCTTGAACCTGGCCCCGGTCTCGTCGGTATCGATCCAGCACGTGCGCAAGTCCTCCCTCTCGTGAGTGGCGACGCACTCGGGGCCAAGCCCCCCGCCCTCTGGCTCTGGCGGGGGGGTGGCGGTCCCGCCAGCGCCGGCCTCGGGGCCCGGGAAGAGCCTCTCCTCTAAGGCCTCGCGGGCGGGTCGGAGCTTGTCGGCCGCCACCAGCTTATCCTCGCGCCACCGCTCCATCGCGTCGTCCGTCACGAACTCGATCGGGAACCACTCGCCCCGCGGGTCCTGGTCGACGCCGTACCTGCCCCGGACGACGGCGTTCGGCGACAGTCTCACCTCAAGCCCGAAGTCGGCGCCGCCGTCGAGCGAGCTTAGCACCCAGGTGCCTGGCGGCAGCTCCTCGGGCGGCGGCGGCCGCGGCCCGGTGGCGCCAGCGCCCCCGTCGGCGTCGGCGAGCGGCGCAGCCGCCTCGGCCTCGGCGGGGCGGACCTGCTTGCCGCGCAGCCGCCGCTCGACCCTCGGCGCGTCGACCGCCATCACGTCCGGCACTGCGAGGCGTCGACCGGTCCAGGTCACGCCTGTCCCGGCCCAGGTGGCAGCCGCGTTGCCGTGGTCAGCGATCGCCTCACCGCGGCCCCGCTTGACGACGCTGAGAAGCTCCTCGTCAGTCAGGGGCCGGTTGAAGGCAACAACATTGGTCGTGCCCGGCGGGTAGACCCGCTTGCCAGTCCACTTCACCACTGAGGTATAGTCGGCCCGCCCTTCAGGATACAGATGGTTGCCAGCAGTATACACCATCCACTCCGAGAGGTCAGCAGCCGTGGGCCAGCACAGAACACGCTCATGCGTCCAGCCTGGATCCGACGAATACTGCACCAGCACCCGCATGCCAGGCACGGCTCCGTCGACGAGCGCCATAACGCCACGTGGATCCGCGCCTCTCCGACGGGCTCAAGCCCGCGCCGTGCCGCAACCCGGCCCTCGCACCAGCGGCAGCAGCCCCAGCCAACGAAGGCCTGCAGCACGACGACGAGCGCGCTCGCCGGCACCACCGGGACCTCGACGGTCGCGGTCACGCCCTCGCCCACCACGCGCAGCGCCTCCGGGGACGCTGGAGTGGGCGCTGGTGGCGCCGGTGGCGCCGGGCAATGGATCTGCGGGTCGAAGGCGGGGCACGGCTCCCGCGTCACGCTGGTGATGGACGAGCTGGTAGAGGCGTCCTCCAGCTCGTGTCCTGGCCCGTCACGAGGCCAGTCAGGCTCAGGAACCACCGCAGGCCCGAGAAAGCCGTGGGCCGCGAAGCCGACCCAGAAGGCGACTATCGCTCCTGCCGCGGTGGTCGGAGAATGCGCAAGCATGCCCGCTGCAAGCTTGAGCCCAGGCAGTTATGGAAACGGGTGATAACTGCAGGGGTGCAACAGACTAAACACTCATAGCAAGACCGTGCATCGCACAACCATGTTCAGCGATAGTTCACACCCAAACCCTTCAGTTCAGGCAGCTAGCCCGCTACGCAACAGCATCGGATCTCAACCACGAAGCGCTCACGTCGAACGCATCCTTGTCCTCCACCCTCAATGTACTTGTTCCCCGAGCGGCGCCGAGGTCATTCCTCACCCAAGACGTGGTCAAGGTATCCCTGACCATACGCTGGATAGACAGCCAACGGTCCCGTGGCGAATGGGCCTGTGTCGCAAGAGTGACGGAATTGCGCATGGGCAAAACCGACGGCGCTACGAGGACGATGATGATAATAGAAATAGAAGAAGCGCCATATAATGAAACTTTTGGCGCTAGGCGCGAATTTCTTGGATCTGGCGTGGAACCCCCTCCCTGGGGCGCGGAGCGCGCCAGGGGCGGCGCCGGAGACGCCGCTGGGGACGCCGCTGGGGGGGCCCAGCGCGGATCCAAGAAATCCGCGCGGAGCGCCAAAAGTTCACGTGTATGGCCTTGTTTCTTCTTCGAGAGAAGGACGAAGTAAAGGTAGAGGGACAACGGTGACGACGAGGAACAGGTGGAGGTGGGGGGGAAGGCAACAGGGGGATACCCGTGGAGGGCCTTCCGAGTCGAGACACGAATGATGCCTCAAGCGGCAGCCGAAGGATGCTGCCGCACGGAATCGAGACATGGCGCTCGTTGCGGTCGAACTCTTTCCTCCTCCTCATCATCATATGCTCATTCGACGCCATCCTTCCCTCCTCATACTCCTGCCATGTCTATTATATGTCCCATTCCCGTTCCACTTCCACCGCCTGCTCCCATGACAAGACTCTCTGCGGCGGAACTACGTGGTGACCCGTGCGCAGCACGGCTGAGCCGCGGCCGTCGATCCCCTCATCCCGGAGCCCCACTCCCTGCTAGCGGTCAAATGGACAACAGGAGTGCCACAGCCTGACCGCCCCACCGCAGCCCGAGCGCCGCCGCCGCCCGGGGCACACTGGCCTCCTGGGGGGGGCGTGTCACCCCTGGACCTGTACCTTCTGGGCGTGCCAGAAGATGTAGCACGGCACCCTAATACTAGATGCGGCATGTCCTCCTACAGGCGGGTTTGGGAGGGAAATCGGATCATGGTGAAAAATGCGGAAAATTACAAATAGTGGACAGATAATCTCCAGACTATTTTCTGACTATTCTTGAATGTTGCTCCTGTGGATGGACGTGCCCGACTTAAATCTAATAGCAGCAGTGGTGAACAGACGTGTCGAGAACAAGGAGGTGGTCCTGGCCCGAGAGGTGACGCCAGCTTTTCCAGGGAGGCTCCGATGGCCTCTGAAGGCCCCTCACACGAGGCCCGGAGAGCCCCATGGGGACTGTTCGGAAGAACGCGCCAAGCTCGGGGCACCTTGCCAGGGACACCGCCAGGGCTTAGTGGGCTATGGAAGCGGCAGGGCCTTTTTCACCGTTTCCGAAACAATCTTTTAAACGGCGAGATAAAAAAGAACGGCGACCAGAAGCGACAAACGAATGGCTCCGGGATTAGAACCGGAGCCGGAACTGGAAAAAAAACGGCGACGGAACTGGCAAAATAAGGCGTCGGAATCGGCAAAAAAAGCGGCAAAACGGAACCGGGAAAAAACAGCCCTGCCGCCACGGCGCTTCAGTGCAGCGGGCACTCCTCTTGGCCGCCAGCGGGGCCAGAGGACGACTGATGACTACCTACCAGACCCCCCCAACATAGACCGAAGTCCAAATTTGGGAGGCGTACGGGATCCATCCGTGTCTTTTCAATGTTCTGGGGTGCCCCCCGACTGGGAATGGAGGGCAACTTAGGGCCTTCGGGTTGGGTTGGGGTGGTTTCGTGGGTTTGAACGACTGGCCACTAGGCGCTCCGATTAACGCCCTCTCCGCGCTGCAGGCGTAGGCGCCGCTGGCCGAGTGCGGCAAGCAACAGGCAGGAAAAACGAGAAGACGAGCGCACTTTGCGCGACCCCCCCCCTTCCCGAAACAGATTGGCGTGGCGTGGGAAGCAGTGGACACCGAGCGCGCTACGCTCGCGAAGAGGAGGAAGAGGAGAAAGAGGAGGAGAAGGAAGAGGAGAAAGAGGAGGAGGAGGAGGAGGAGGAGGAGGAGGAGGAGGAGGAGAAGGAGGGGGAGAAGGGGGAGGGGGAGGAGAAGGAGGAGGGGGAGGAGGAGGAGGGGGAGGAACAGGGAGAGGTCCCCATTGCGTGTCTGGAGCTCGGGAGCTGCGGCGCCCAACGGGGGGGGGGGGGCGTTCTCGCCCTGCGAGAGGGCGGCCTCCGCCTGCAGGCTGCCTCGGGCACAATACACGGACCTTGCAGCCGTGCTGCAGCGGATTTTCGCGTGGATTTCCGTCAACGCCAAACCCCAAAACGACGAGCGAAAAACGTAGTCAAATTCACGTGGATGTGTTGTAGTCTTCATTCCTGGCCCAACAAAAATCAGCACGAAATTCACTTCGAACTCCGGAACGAATTCTCCAGGACACTCCAGGCCCAGTCTACTGTGTTCCGAACGAAACCCGCTCTGCAATGCTGGCGCCATGACACGTGCGCTGACTCAGCCATACGCAAGTGGTGCCCCAACTGGGGTCCGTGGCTTCTGCTCGCGTGCAGCGCTGCGAGCAATGCCGCGAGTCTCCGGTCCATCTTCCAGTCGATGCGGCTTACGCATCGGGCTACGGCTGCGAATGCGCAGGACAGGGACGGGGACGAGGAGACGAAGGGAGGCAGGGGCTGGCTGAAGAGGGAGGGACCCTAGCTCTGACAGCTGGCCTGTCGGCAGTCGCCAAAGGCGGCGGCCCGAGAGCAATCAAGCAAGCCCAGACCATGCCAGCCGGAATGCCGTCAAAGTTTTGCCAGAATGAACATGGTATGAAGGAACGAAGCTTGTCTCGGGCCTGCACTGCGCCTGGGTCCAAAAGGCAAGCTGGAGGACGAATCCAACGAAGAACCCAAGAACCCAAGAGGGGGGGGTCTGTTCCGGACCTCTGCTTAGCGCGACTGTTTGCAAGAGTGCGTCCTACGGGGGAGACTCCACCTGCTCGAAACAGGCGCCAAAAATAGCCAAGATCTACTCCATGGCGGGGGGAGGGGAGGGGGAGTGCGAGGGCCCGCGCCGATCGGCAAAACAAGGAATAAGAAAACGATCACATTCGTAGATTTGATGCTCGGCGCTTCGGTGATATTGCGCGGAAAGCACGTGTCCGCCCCCCTCCTCTCACATGCCGATCATCATGAAATGGCCGGATCGCATCCAGTCGGACCGCGGTTCGCTCTGCATCGACTTCGAAGGCACCGACAGGAAAGGAGCTCCAGCGGGCGACATTGAAGGGTCTTGTCAACCATTGTTTGTGGTTACTTCTGGCGAGGAGGAGGAAGAGAAGCGACGAGAAGGAGAGAGCGAAGAAGAGAGAGAGGAGGAGGAGGAGGAGGAGGAGGAGGAGGAGGAGGAGGAGAAGCGAATATAAGCGAAGAGCGAAGAGGAGGAGGAGGAGGAGGAGGAGGAGGAGGAGCGAGGCGCGACGAGGAGAAGGAGGAGGAGCGAAGAGGAGGAGAAGGAGCGAGGTGCGAAGAGGAGGAGGAGGAGGAGGAGTAGGAGCGAAGAGGAGGACGAGGAGGAGGAGGAGGAAGAGGACCAGTGGAAACCCAAGAGTCATCAACGATGTTGGAATTAACCCTCCCTCCAAGCTCCCTCTTCATAGGCCCCTACAACGGTTTATTTCCATTGAGGTAACTGCCTTGTTAGAAAACAGCAGTTCGAAAATCCTGAAGCGTACCAAAACATTGTTCTCGGGATCTCAACGCCACGTATCAACCTGATTGCTGCGTCTTGACGATCCAGAATCGTGCCAAAACGCCACTCTTGGGACTTCAACACAGCGAATCAACATAACTGTTGCGCCCGCATGATCCTGAATCCTTCCACAACACGATTTCTTGTGCGCTGATCATGGGAATCCGTGAACCTCTTGCAAATTGTAGAAACGAATGTGCGCGGTGCTAAGGCGAGAGCCACATTTTGAAAAGGAACCGCCCTCAATCCATGGAGCTCTTGCAAACTTTTGAAACGAATGTGCGTGGCGCTAAGGCGAGAACCACATTTTGAAAGGGAACCGCCCTCAATCCGTGAAAGTCTTGCAACTGTTGAAAATGAATGTGCGCGGCGCTAAGGCGAGAACCACATGTTGAAAACCACCCGCCCTCAATCCGTGAAGATCTGGCAAATGTTTAAACACAAATGCGCGCGGCGCTAAGGCGAGAACCACATGTTGAAAACCACCCGCCCTCCAATCCGTGAAGCTCTTGCAAATTTTGAAACGAGTGTGCGCGGCGCTGCGGAGAGAGCCACATTTTGAAAACCACCCACCCTCAATCCGTGAAGCTCCTGCAAATATCTAAACGAATGTGCGCGGCGCTACGGCGAGAGCCACATTTTGAAAACCACCCGCCCTCAATCCGTGAAGCTCTTGCAAATGTTAAAACGAATGCGCGCGGCGCTAAGGCGAGAGCCACATTTTGAAAGCGACCCGCCCTCCATCTGTGAAACAGTTGTCACTTTTTCAGCTTCAGAGCCATAAATGGTGAGGAAGTCTCAGGCGAAACGCCCGGCCCGCCCTAAGGGTGCGACAGGGAGAAGTTACCTAGAAGGAGAAGGAATGGAGGAGGGGGCAGTGCAGCAGGCCCTGACCAGCGTAGCAGAACATTCCGAGGCGGCGGGCGGGACCTGGCCAGCTGTCAAGAGACTCGGCCTCGGGGAGCGGGGCGGGGCATCCGACAGGACTCTCCGGATAGGCGGCGCAGGAGATCAGGGAGAGCCTGGGAGGGGGGGGGGGGGCGATCATTGACGTCCCCGTCTTCCTGCGGGGGAGAGCGAGAGAGAGAGAGAGAGGGATGGAATGGGTCTGGGGGTGGGGTAGAGAAAGGGGGAGAGAGAGAGAGAGATAGACAAAGAGAGAGAGAGAGAGAGACAAAGGAGAAAGAGAACATAGAAATAGAAAGAGAGATAGAGTTAGGCAGAAAGAGCGAGAGCGAGAGAGATGGCTCCAAGGAGAGGCAGGAAGAGAGGGTGGGGCAACTATGGAGGAGAGAGGGAGAGAGAGAGAGAGAGAGAAACAAAACAAACACATAAGAGAGAGAGAGAAGTGTTGAGGAGTGAAGAAGAGAGAGGGAGAGAGCAAGAGAGAGAGAGAGAGAGAGAGCGCGAGCGAGACACAGAGATAGAGACAGAGAGAGAGAGATACACAACAAAAGGACGCACCGATGCGGACCGCAGGTCCGAGGGCCGTCCGGGCAGTCGGCTCGCGCCGCCCCCCCCTCTCGGGGCTGGAAGGCAGCGATCCCCCCGGGCACACATGACGGACAGCCGATTCCCCGCCGGGCGCAGCTGCTGACGCGACTGTGCATGCGTGACCCGCCGGCAGCAGGAGCATGGCCGCGGATCTGTGGTCGGGAGCGGCGAGAGCGCCGGGGGCGATGGGCTGTGTTGGCATGCCGCCCTCCCCGCGGTGAAGAGGAGCCGCTGGCAGGCTGGGGGCGGGGGCAAGTGCCAGTCCACGGCTAGCTGGCCAGGCTAGAACGTGGGACGCGGGTGGCAGCGCTTGAGGCTGTGGAGAAGTGAGCGTGGAGTAATTCACCAAATAAGGACCCCTAATCCTTTGGGAGGGGACCTAAGTTAGGCAGCCCAAAGCAGTAGGGATAGGGGCTCTTCTCCGCAGATCAATCGAACAACCGCCCACATCTGCGACCCCTGATGCAAAGACGGGGACCTCGGTGCGGCCACGTCTCCACTGTGTTGTCAGGGTCAGGGGCCCTTGGATTCTCGACGGTGGAGGGCCCGCAGAACTGCCAGGGTAGCCTGCACCGCGGGGGGGGCAGGGCAGCCGCGGGGGCACAGGGCAAAGGCGGCGGCCCCGTGCCGCGCGGCCTGGGCGAGGACGGAGGCGCTCCGAGATTGAGGGGGGGGCAAAGGCGGTCGTGAACGTCTTGGAGGCCAGCAGCGGGCGCCTTGTCCCGCTGCCGGAGGGTTCGCTCTGCCGCCGCACCACAGTCAGCCCGCACAGTAAGGATGGGCAACCTTCCCGAGGTTACCCCACTCGCATCCCTTGCCCCTTCTGCACATCCTCCACGACTTTC